AATTAGAAAGAGAGCAACAAGAAAAGCCCAGAGTGAGCAGAAGGAAGGCGATAATAAAGATTAGAGCAGAAATAAATAACATAGAGACCAAAAAAACAATACAGAAAATCAATGAAACCAAGAGCTGGTTCTTTGAAAGGATAAACAAGATTGACGAACCTCTAGCCAGGCTCACCAAGAAGCAAAGAGAGAGGACCCAAATAAACAAAATCAGAAATGATAGAGGCGAAATAACAACAGACCCCACAGAAATACAAATGATTGTTAAAAAATACTATGGACAACTCCACTCCAACAAACTAGACAACCTGGAGGAAATGGACATATTCCTAGAAAAATACAACATTCCAAAACTTAATCAGGAAGAATCTAAAAATCTCAACAGGCCAATAACTATGGAAGAAATTGAAGCAGTCATCAAAAAGCTTCCAGCAAACAAAAGCCCAGGACCAGACGGCTTCACAGGGGAGTTTTACCAAACATTCAAGGAAGAACTAAAACCTCTCCTCCTCAGACTACTACAAAAAATTCAAGAGGAAGGAACACTTCCAAGCTCATTCTATGAAGCCAGCATCACCCTAATACCAAAACCAGGTAAAGACAACACAATGAAAGAGAATTACAGGCCAATATCCCTCATGAACATAGATGCCAAAATCCTCAACAAAATCTTAGCAAATCAGATCCAGCAGTACATCAGAAAGATCATACACCATGACCAAGTAGGATTTATCCCAGGGATGCAAGGATGGTACAGTATCCGCAAACCAATAAACGTGATACATCACATAAACAAAATGAAAGAAAAAAACCACATGGTCATATCAATTGATGCAGAAAAAGCATTTGACAAAATCCAACACCCATTTTTGATAAAAACTCTCAGCAAGGTGGGAATAGAAGGATCATACCTCAACATAATAAAAGCCATATATGACAAACCCACAGCCAACATCATACTCAATGGACAAAAACTAACACCATTTCCCTTATGAACAGGAACAAGACAGGGATGCCCACTCTCACCACTCCTGTTCAACATAGTACTGGAAGTATTAGCCATTGCAATTAGACAAGAAGAAGAAATAAAAGGCATCCAAATTGGAAAAGAAGTAAAACTGTCTTTATTTGCAGATGACATGATATTATACATAAAAAAACCCTAAAGACTCCATCAAAAAACTATTAGACTTAATAAAAGAATTCGGCAATGTAGCAGGATACAAAATTAACGCCAAGAAATCTATAGCATTTCTATACACCAATAGTGAACTTGCAGAAAGAGAGACTAAAAAAAAATCCCATTTACCATCACACCAAAAAAATTAAGCTACCTAGGAATAAACTTAACTAAAGAGGTAAAAGACCTCTACTCAGAAAACTATAGGGCGTTGAAAAAAGAGATATAGGAAGACATAAACAGATGGAAGAACATACCATGTTCTTGGATTGGTAGAATCAACATCATTAAAATGTCCATACTACCCAAAGCAATCTATAAATTCAACGCACTTCCCATTAAAATACCAACAGCATATTTTACAGACCTAGAACGAACTCTCCAAAAATTCATCTGGAATAAAAAACGACCCTGAATAGCTGCAGCAATCCTGAGAAAGAACAAAGTAGGTGGGATCTCAATACCAGATATCAAGCTGTATTACAAAGCCACTGTTCTCAAAACTGCCTGGTACTGGCACAAGAACAGACATATAGATCAATGGAATAGAATAGAGAGCCCAGAAATCGGCCCGAACCAATATGCTCAATTAATATTTGACAAAGGAGGCAAGAACATAAAATGGAGTCAAGATAGTCTCTTCAATAAATGGTGTTGGGAAAATTGGACAGATACATGCAAGAAAATGAAACTAGAACACCAACTTACACCATACACAAAAATAAACTCAAAATGGATTAAGGACTTAAATATACGACGGGAAACCATAAAAATACTAGAAGAATCCAAAGACAACAAAATCTCAGACATATGCCGAAGCAATTTCTTCACCAATATAGATCCTAGGGCATTGGAAACTAAAGAGAAAATAAACAAATGGGACTACATCAAAATAAAAAGCTTCTGCACAGCAAAAGAAACCATCAACAAAACAACAAGAAAGCTCACTACATGGGAGAACATATTTGCCAATGCTATCACTGATAAGGGTTTAATCTCCAACATTTATAGGGAACTCATACAACTCAACAAAAGGAAGATAAACAATCCAATCAAAAAATGGGCAAAGGACCTAAATAGACACCTTTCAAAAGAGGACATTCAGAAAGCCAAGAGACATATGAAAACATGCTCAAAGTCACTAATCATCCAAGAGATGCAAATCAAAACAACAATGAGGTACCATCTCACACCTGTCAGAATGGCTATCATTAACAAATCAACATACGACAAGTGCTGGAGAGGATGTGGAGAAAAAGGAACACTCGTGCACTGCTGGTGGGAATGCAGACTGGTGCAGACACTATGGAAGACAGTATGGAGTTTCCTCAAAAAACAAAAAATGGAACTCCCATTTGACCCCGTGATCCCACTTCTAGGAATATATCCCAAGAAACCAGAAACACAAATCAGAAAGGATATATGCACCCCTATGTTCATAGCAGCACAATTCACCATAGCTAAGATCTGGAAACGGCCTAAGTGCCCATTAGTAGATGAATGGATTAGAAAACTGTGGCACATCTACACGATGGAAAACTATGCTGCTGTAAAAAAGAAGGAACTCTTACCATTTGCAACAGCATGGATGGAACTGGAAAGCATTATGCTAAGTGAAATAAGCCAGTCAATGAAGGAAAAATACCACATGATCTCACTCACTTATGGATAATAAAGACCATTATAAACTTATGAACAAAAATAGATACAGAGGCAGAGCTGCCTCGAACAGACTGTCAAACTACAGCGGGAAGGCTGGGGAGAGTTGGGGGGCAGGTGGGGGGGGGGTAAGAGATCAACCGAAGGACTTGTATGCATGCATATAAGCATAACCAATGGGCATAAGACACTGGGGGGTAGGGGAGGCCAGGGGATTGTCAAGGGCGGGGGAAAAAAAGGAGACATATGTAATACTCTTTGTAATACTTTAAGCAATAAAAAATTAAAAAAAAACAACAAAAAAAACTTATATACATATATGTATAAGCCACGGACACAGACAATAGTGCGATGAAGGCCTGGGGAGGAGGTGCAGGAACGGGATGGAGGGTGTCAGTGGGGGTGCAGGGGAGGAAAGTACTGTAATAATTTCAACAATAAAGATAAATTTAAAAAAGAAACTGAAAAATAAAATAAATAAGAGCCAATTCTGATCAAGCTTCTCCCCAGCTCAATAACCTTCAATGGCTCCCCACTGCCTATATGATCAAGTCACCAAAGCTTCCCACAACATGCCCTTCCCCTGCTTATCCAGTACCTGCTTCTCCTTCAGCAGAGGACCCTACTCCCACAGGTCTTCCTAGGACTCATGAATGGGTCCACAGTGGCATCCTAACACATGAAGAGCCGGTACTGCCTCATTCTGGCAGGTTTCTACTTTCTCCTCTTCACAAGCTGACAAGTCTTATCTCACCAACCATGTCTGGCCTACACCTCACATGTCTCTGGGTCTCCTAACAGAGTGGCTCTCACAGTGCCACCAAACCCCGGAGCTGCACCAAGCCTTGCTGATAACTGCCATGGCTGGTAGGGGCAGCTACTGGGTGTGGAGGCTGGGAGGCAGCTTGGGACAGGGAGGTTTGAGGGTCAGCTCTGCCACGCCCTGTCCCTGTGCACACACGGAACTCACACTCTCTTCCCAGGACCTGGCTTGATGCCTCTTTTGCAGGAGCTGTAGAGGTACCCGAGGACAGAGTTAGCAAAGCCTTGAGGCTCTCAGTGGCTTTTCTCTCTGCATCTTCCTAACATCCATAGCCCCCTCTAGACCTTGCATCCTCCACTAAGCATTCCAGGATAGTTGGGTCATGGTGTAACCCCCACGGTTTCTCTGGAGCAAATTCCCCCAAACCTCTTTTGGATCCGGCAGACATTCTGACAAGCCCCAAACTCAGCACATGAGGGAGAGACTGGAGTCAGGACTCCTAGAAAGCTGAGGGGCCTTGTGGGAGTGGGGGATGCCCAACTCAGTGCAGTGGGGGTGCAATCATAGGCAAGCCTATGTCTGCACGCAGGTTTATAAAGCACTCCAGCAAACATACTTCCAGAAGATCTCCACAACAACCTGGTGAGGTGGGTATCATCACCCTTATTTGAAGGGGAGGAAAGTAGGCTTAGGAAGGCAAATGGATTAGGCCATAGTCACCCAGATGGTGAAGAGCAGAGCAGGGGCTCCAGCCTCATCGTAGGACCCCTGACCCAGTCAGTCTGCTGCACCACATGGCCCAGGCATTCTAGAATCCGCTCCTTTCACCTAATACAGCCTTAGCAATGGACCAGGCTGTATGCTTCCTGAGTCCAGAGATCTGTCTTTGTACATCTCACCCAAGCTGGGCCCCAGTTATGCTCTGTAATGAGCATCACCTGGTTGAAAAACCAGAGCTCCGAGGCCGAGAGGCAGACTTAAGCCAGGCCACCCCAATTCCTTTTACCAGGACCTGAGATCACTCCATGAATGGTTCTTGCCCATGTGGCCCTGCCAGTGAACAAAGTAGAGGCAGGGCTTGGATCACACACAGGATGGAGTGGGGTGCAATGGGGCAAAAGATGGGGTGTCCCTAGGGACCCTACCCAAATGCCCGTCTCCATGATTTCCCTACAGAAATCAGCACTGGGCAAATGATTCTGTGTCCCTCTTTCTCCAAGAGGGCCCCTTTCCAAGGCCTGTGTCCCGAAGAAACCAACAGCACGGCCTGGCACACTCCCTCACAGCCTGCTCACATTCCCACCCAGCCCACCCGCAAAGTCCTTCCATGCCAGTTTCTACTGTGGACCCACCCTTGCCTGCCGCCATCCTTCTCGGTCCGAGCTTTTCCCATTGTACCTAAACTTGTAGTTCTCTGGCATGAAGTAGCCCATCTTGCAGTCCTGCCGAGCCTGGGAGATCTGTTTCAGCAGATTCTGCTTGCTGAAGCCGTATCCATTCAAAACACAGCCCCCAAACAGGAGCTTCCCCCCAGCGAACATCTGCTGACAGACAGGAAGGAAACAAAGGAGAGGCCCTCAGCACATCAGCACTGAAACTCTCAGAGCCTGTGCCAGAATCCAGGCCTCTCTTTGGTGCCCGGGAAGAGGTGTTAACCTTCCCAAGTCACCCACTGAGGTGTGGCTAAGCCTGTCCTCTGTCTAGGTCCCCCAGGTCAGACGCCCATCATCCCAGCCTCTCCCCTCTGCCAGATGGACCAGCTCAAATGTCACTTCATATACAAGACCTCCCAGAACTCTGAGGCCAGAGGGTGTCTTCCTGCTCCCAGGCAGCTGGCCTCAAACCCACTCTGATACACTGATCAGCTTGTCCCATGGGATAGGAGCCCCTTGAGGGCAAGGATCTTGCTCTATAGCCCTCCATGCTCCCACTCTCTGATTTCTGTGCAAGGATAGTCATTAGTATGGATATTCATTTGTTATTTGTCATGGACAAAAAACAAACAAAAGGAAATAGCCTTTTTATGTTATTTAAAATCTACAAACAGATAAAGAGAATTTGACTTTCCAGTTAAGTGCTCAAGTCTCCTGGGATTGGGGACATGGGGTCAATGTGGAGACAGGAGGCCAGGCTGGGAGAAAACCCCCTCCCACATCTGTGACTCCACAAGGGTAGGGGCTATAGAGACCGGGGCAGCTGGTAGTTGGTGGTGAGTCCCCTGCTGGGCTCCGGCTCACCAGAACCATCCCCTGCATCACAGCATACTTCTTCACCAGCAGGGGTGGATCCTTCTGCAGTGGGCTGTTGAGGTCATATCGCAGTAGGCGGTAGGGGTCATGCTGGCACTGCCAAGAGAATGAATGCCCATCACCTCCATGCCAAGAGGATGCACTCAGATTCCTGCGTTCTCAGCCAGGTTGGGTTACCACTGAGTTCTGGAGCCCCATACAATACCCCCTTCTCAACCCCTACTCATGGCATCCCAGAGAATGTCCTCAGATCCACTTAGGGCCCTCTATTGGTGAAAGCTGTCGCAGAGATGATCACCCCTGCCATGTGACATCCACTAGCCTGGCCCTCTGGGGTCTGTGGGATGTTCCTGTCTCCTCTGCCTGAGAGAGACCATGTGGAGATTGGATGATGGGAATGGTATTCCTGGGCATACCCATTTCCAGGATTCTTTTGCCCCCTATCTCCCTGCTGGATGCCCTACTGGACACCTCCTGGTCATTAAACCCACTGAATTGAACCCAAATCTTGAGGTATGGCCTGGTCAATCCGGAGTAAAACTGGTCTCTTTCTCCTCCTTCTTTCTGGATGCTGTTGTTAATAAAGCTAATGTGACATGTTCTGGTTTTATCTACTTTTATTCCAGGTGCCACCAAAATTGTCCTGCCGGACCTTTCAGTTTAAAATGTGAAACCTGGACCCACACCTGGTGTTCCAGCTATTAGAGCAAGAGAACACCAGGAAAGGTTTCTGTCTTAAGACCCTGAGTGGTGGGGCCAGAGGCAGTGCAATCTGAAAACACCCTCCAAGCCTGCTCTTTGTACTCCTCCATCCTGCTGCCATGGCCTTCAACCAGCTCAGGCCAGGCCCTGACTCCGTTTGTGCTGCTCATGGCTGGGCAGCACCACCATGCATTCCTGTGCTTATGGATAATTATTAGTGAACAATGAATGGCCCTGAAATAAACTGAAGTCAACTCTAAGTTTAAAACATATGTGTCTTTGATATATGAGACTAGAAAAAAGCCTTCTGGAGTCTGATCTGAAGGGTTCCAATGCCAAGCTCCTGGCACTGGCTGGAGTGCAGGTCCAAGGGTGGGTATGTCAGGGTCAGGAAGGTGGCACTCCTGGGATGAGGGCTTAAGAGGATGTCCCCAGGGTATACACAAAAATCAGAATTAAGGGCTGCAGCCAGAGGAAGATGGGTGAAGACAATAGACTTGAGAGGGCACCAAGACAAAGAGGGTTTGAAGGAAGGCATCAAGTGGACACACAGCTCTGTGCTCATGTGGCATCCTCTGCTCCAGTTGGTCTGGGGACAGGGCCACCCCTTGAACTGTGCTAACACTGTTGGAATGGCTAATGACTCAGGATGATGATGAGATTTAGAAATGACTCCGCGGCAAGGAGGCGGGGTGGTTCCATGTGCCCCTGACTGACTCACCCACGATGAACTGGGACCTCGAGCGGTCTTTCCCCTGTTCACCTTGGCACAGGACACTGCCTCTGCCAGAAACACTCACCCACCTGCCCAAACCCTTTCATCCTGGGGGGCTCTCCCAGACCTTTGAGAGGGGTTCTCTTGCTCCCCAGTTCCTACCCGCCTAGAGCTGTCCTTTCATGGTCCTCATTGGGGCTTGCTGTAGTTACACCCCCACCATGTGGGAGCCGCTCCAGGGCTATGTCAAAGTCAACATGGAGCAGAGACCTGCACAGGACCAGCGCACAGTAGGTACTTGGCCACTATCTACCAACATTCCTTAGCCCTGAGCATTTAGAGGTGAGTGTGGTTCTGCTTTAAATACACCAGCACAGAACCAAAAACTGTGGTGTGTACTTTGGAAGAAAACAACAGGGGCCTGACTTTGTCTCAAGGTCAGAAAGGACAACCACTTGATGCGGTGACATTCGTCCTGGGACAGGGGGATGAACGGGAGAGAACCACAGCAAACAGTAGGAAGAGTGTGTGCAAAGGCCCCAAGGAGCAAAGGAAGTGAAAGAGGACCCTGTGCCGAAGTGGAGAGGCAATCTCTCAGCCAGGTGCTCAGCCAGCCCTAGCCCTCCCCCTCCACCTCCCCACCCCCAGGCACTGGGGGCTCCTCTGCTGGGCCCAGGACCCACCTGGATGCAGGGTGAGCCACGGCCCTGCTGCCGGTGACAGTAGAGTGTGTTGAGCAGCCACTGGAGCTGTCCTGAGCTGGTAGGAATGTGGCTTGACACAATTCCGAACACCAGCACCTGGCTGGGGTCACGGGGCACCGACAGGAAACGTTCCAGCTCCACATCAGATACCAGGGGTGGCTTCACTATGCACTTGCAGCCAGCGCGGATGTCTTCCTTACAAATGAGCTTCCGCAGCACCAGTGGGCAGTCAGAGGGTGAGGCAGCCCTCCTGGTGTGGCTGCGCATCTCTGCGGCCCTCCCCCTGCAAGAAGGAGCGAGTGGGCTGGCGCTCAGTGGGCCCTGACTCCACATGGACAAAGGCCCCACTGCTGTGGAGTCTAGGCCACGGGCAGCTCAACCCTGGCCTCTGCCATCAGCATGCCCCCTATCTCCTTGCAGCACCGCCTTGAATGGGTCCCCTAATCTTTCTGGGCCTCTGTATCCTCAAGTAACAAGCAACTCAATTGTTCATCCATCCAACACAAGCTTTGTAGTCATCCTGAACTCCTTTCTTTCTCTTAAACCTCATGTCCTATCCAACCTATCAGCAAGCCTGTCTGCTCTCCACTCAAGAAAGATGCAGCCCTGGCCAGTTTGGCTCAGTGGATAGAGCATTGGCCTGTGGACTGAAGGGGGTTTGATTTTGGTCAAGGACTCATGCCCGGGTTGCGGGTTAGATCCCCAGTCGGGGGTGTGCAGGAGGCAGCCAATCAATGATTCTCTCTCATCATTGATATTTCTGTCTCTCTCGCCCTCTCTCTCCCTTTCTGAAATAAATAAAAATTTTTTTAATCTAATTTGCATCTCTCAGATGATTAGTGACTTTGAGCATGTTTTCATATGTCTCTTTGGTCTTCCTTATGTTCTCTTTCAAAAAGTATCTATTTAGGTCCGTTGCCCATTTTTTGATTGAGTTATCTTCCTTTTGTTAAGTTGTATGAGTTCCCTGTAAATCTTGGAGATTAAACCCTTATCTGTGATAATATCAAAACAACAATCCGGTACCATCTCACACCTGTCAGAATGGCTATCATCAACAAATCAACAAACAACAAGTGTTGGCGAGGATGTGTAGAAAAATGCAGACTGGTGCAGCCACTGTGGAGAACAGTATGGAGTTTTCTCAAAAAACTAAAATGGAATTCCCATTTGACCCAGCAATCCCACTTCTAGGAATATATCCCAAGAAATTAGAAACACCAATCAGAAAGGATATATGCACCCCTATGTTCATAGCAGCACAATTCACCACAGCTAAGATTTGGAAACAGCCTAAGTGCCCATCAGCAGATGAGTGGATTAAAAAACTGTGATAGGTACATCTATACAATGGAATACTATGCTGTGGTAAAAAAGAAGGCATTCTTACCATTTGCAACAGCATGGATGGACCTGGAGAGCATTATGTGAAGCGAAATAAGCCAATCAGAGAAAGATTAATATTACATGATCTCACTCATTAGTGGAATATAATGAACAACATAAGCAGATGAACAAAAACAGATCCAAAGACAGAAAAGCATCAATCAAACCGTCAAACCTCAGAGGGAAGGTAAGGGGAAGAGATCAACCAAAGGACTTGTATGCATGCATATAAACCTAACCAAAGGACACAGACACCAGGGGGGTGAGGGCATGAGTGGGAGGGCAGGGGGAAATGGGGAGATAAGGACACATATGTAATACCTTAATCAATAAAGAAAAAAAAAGAATCAACCAATGAATGTATAAATTCAAAAAATGAAATAAAGTAATACAATTGCAAGTAAAAAAAAAAAAAATCTGAGTCACATCATGTCACTACTCTCTTTGAAACTCTCCAGTGGCTTTCCACCTTTCCTAGAATAAAAGCCAAAGTCCCTGCAATGTCCTTCCAGGCTGTACATGATCTGTCCCCCTGCCTTATCCTCTTTACCTCTCTTCTTCTTCTCCAATAGGTCCACCTTTGCTTATTGAGTTCTGGCCTCTTTGGCCTGTGCTTATCCTCCAGCCTCAAGGTCTTTGCTCTCGCTGTCCCTTCTGCCTGCTTGGCTCTTCCCCCAGATAGGCACACAACTCACTTTCTCACCTTCTTTACCTCTTTATGAAAATGTCACCTTCTTTTTTACAATTTATATTTTTATTGGTTTCAGAGAGGAAGGGTGAGGAATAGAGAGATAGAAACATCTACGAGAGAAACATCATCGATTGGCTACCTCCTGCATGCCCTCCTCTGGGGATTGAACCCACAATCTGGGCATGGGCCCTGACCAGGAATCAAAGTGTGATCTCTTGCTTCTTGGGTTGATGCTTACCACTGAGCAACACTGGCTGGGCTTTAAAATGTTGTTTTTTTAAATCCATAAGTCAGATGATCTTACCTTAAAAGTAATGGAATGACTTCCTATAACAGTAACAAGTGTACTTATCTGGCTCCTGCCTCTCTCTCTGTGTCCTCAATTTATATAACTCTTAAGTCTTCCCCATGAGGCTCCACACTGGTCTTTTTACTTTCACTCACATATACCAAACTTATTCTTGTCTCAGAGCTTTCATACTTGCTCTACCCTTTGCCTGAGGTTCCTTCCCCGTCCCTTTTTGGGGCTGCCTATTTCTTATCCTTCAGGTCTCCAGTTAAATATCATTTCCTCCGGAATGCCTTTCCTGACCTTTCTTCCTAATGTAGCACATCCCACCCCATTTCTTAGTCACTTTCTATCCCTGGGGCTAGTCAACATTTTCTATAAAGGACCACAGTGCAAATGTCCTAATCTTTGCAGGCCAGATGGACTATGTCACAAAGACTCAAGACGTCTGTCCTAGCAGGGTAAGCAGCCATAGATAATACTAAGTATATGAGAGGGTGTGGCCGTGTTCCAAGAAAACCTTACTTATTGATCTGATATTCAAATTTCATATCATTGCACATGTCATGAGAAATTCTTCTTTTGATTTCTCCCCCAGCATTTAAATACATAAAAAAACATTCTAAGCTCACCCATTAAAAAGGCTAGCAGCAGGGCCAGATTTACACATGGCCCTAAATTGCCAACCTCTGCTTTCCATGAATTCTTTTCTTTCTAGCCTTCTCACCATCGAAATGACTTCAGTGATTCATGTGTGTACCTTCTATTTTTGCCCACCCTGAGGATTCCAGCTCCGAGAGGGAGGGGCCTCATCTATTTTCTTCACCAGTGTGTGCCCACTACGCATGAGAGCATCTGGCACACAGAAGCTAGAGGAAATGAAGGCTCAAGCCCACCTGAGTGTAGCCAGGGCTTTGGCGTGGATTTTGATGATCTTCTTCGGAGCAGGGCTTATCGGAGCAGACCTAGGCTCTTCCTTCGGAGACTGTACAGCCGAGGATTCAGGTGGGGCTGACTGATAACGTGTTGCAGGGCCTTCTGAATATAGATTTAGCTTGGCGCCCCGCTCAGAAAAGGCCCAGGATCTCATTTTGGTTCGACTTAGTTCTCCCATGACCCTTGATGGATATTCTATGATGAGCAGTCCTGTTTACAGAAGACACTGTTGTTATTCTCAGTGGCCTTACCTTCCTGATGTAGGGCTCTGCATGTGGGCACCCTTTAGCTCATCTCCCTCTCCACTCCTTCACTCTGTAGATTCTTCTGCTGGGCTGCCTGCCCTCTATTGTCTGGCACAGCACTCCAAGCCTAGCACCGTTAGCTCATCAGTAAATGCTGGCTGAATGTAAGAACGAATCAATCCCATTCCCATTCATTCATCCATACCCAGCTTAGATCCCTCTTCTCTGAATTGACCCTGTGTTTTATCAGCTTTGTGACCCAGACAGCACTCAATGTAGAGACTGGGTATAAATGCATCCGTGTTGTTCCCTTCCCTGAGGATGCCATTCCTTGTGTCTCCAGGTTTAAGTAATTTCCATCTACTTTTTTTTGTTACATTGCATTTATCGGTATTCTTATTGTACTTTCCCCACTAGACTGGAAAACTTTTGAGGCCAGGGATCTCTCATTCACTTACCATTTACTGAGTGCTGGGTTCTGGGCATAGAGAGATCACCCACAACTGCTTCCCTGCCTCTGGAAACTCCCAGTGGCAGTATAGGAGGGATGGGCAAACAGAAATATTCACAATGCTAAGTTGTAAGATTTACTAGAGCACACATAAAGTACTGTCGAGCCCAGAGGAGTGTGTGTCCCCTTCTACTGGGGGAGTCAGGGCTTTCCAGAGAAGAGGCACAGTTGAACTGAGTCTTCAGGGGTGAGGAGAAATACCCCAGAGAGGTCATGGGGAGAGCACAGCCCCTCCATGCTCAGCCTGGGGGTGGCATGGAGTGCTGTGGGGGGTGGGGGGGTGTCAATGTCCTTTTGTGCCCAGGCTCATCAGCAGGGCAGAGTCCAGATGTGGAAGGTATTCCTAAGGGCCAGCATGGGGAGCTCTGTGGGCCTAACAGTTCAGCCTGGTAAGGTAGCTGCTTTTTCTCCTCTGCTGAGATCTACAACAAGGAGAGAGGAATGGGGCTGCAAACGGATAGATAGAAGATGGAGCTAAAAGGTGAACCAGGTGTGGGAGTGGGGACAGAGACACATACAGAAAGATGATGAGACCCAGGAAAATAAGATAATCATATGGAGACATTAAAGACACGTAGGAAAGCGCTCAAAAATGGAGGGTGGCCAAGGTCACCATTAGTAGCTGTGTGGCGTTGAGCAAGTCCCTTCGGCGTTCTGAGTCCAGTAATTCCATCTACCAATGGGGAAATCTCCCTGTCATGCCCACCTCCCTGGGGTGGTAAAGAGCTATCCTTGGAGACAATCTGCAGGTAACTCAGGATTTGAAAAGCCATCGGATAGGCTGTCACCTACCTTTCTGCCCCCTTACCTGCTGCCAGTAAGACAGAATTCATGAACTGAGACACTGTCTTCTGAAACCGCCTCTTGATCGCTGCCAGGGCTCGGCTCATCTTAGACAACTTGTCGTCCATGCTGATGATCTTGTGGGTCATCTGGGGAGAGGCCAAGGGGAGGGCATTGTTACCTGTCCTGCCAGGGGTCATCTGCCCAGACCAGTGACAACCAGGCCTTGCTCTGACTTCAAGGATGTTCTGTCCCCTCTGCCCAAGACACAACTCTCTGCCCCACAGCCCAGTGAATTCCTGCATACCAACCCAACCTGACTTGAAGGTCCCCTCCTGGAACATTTTCCCTGATTCTACTGGGCAGAACTGTTCCTTGCTTTGGACCTCTATTAGCAGCAGCCTGAAGACAGAGGTTAGCCCTTTCTGAAGTGAATGCATCTGAACCTGTCTCCCTTGCTGAACTGTAAGTTCCTAGAGGACAGGGACTGAGTCTTGGTCTCCTTTGTGTCAGAGGCCCAGCATGCCGCAGGTGTCCAGTTAATACCTGCATGGTGAAAAATGATGGATAAAGGCCTCTCTGGAGCCAGTCCTCCTCTGTATGCACCCCCTAGAATCTCTTCCTACCTCCAGCTGCCAGAGCATCTCAGAGGAAAAACTGCCCTTAGCCAGGGTTACATAGATTGACTGGTACCTATGAGCACACAGGCCAGGCCTCCTGCCCCAATTCTAGGTTTCCCTGAAGGGCCATCTGGCTCTGGGGCCCCCTGTGAGGTGGCAAGGTAGTTGCTGGGGCAGCCCTGCAGTTCAACCACTCCCTCTGCCAGACCATCAAAATGGTACTGCAGAACGAGGCTCAGGTTTCAGTTCATTTTCTGCTGGGGGTCCCCGTCATTTTTTACCTTCTTTATCCTTAACTCGGTCAGCCCCTTAAAGGCAGGAACCATGCTTTCTACATCTCTCACTTAACACAGAGGAGGTGTGAAAGCGATTTCCTTCTGTGGAATTGAAGCCTCAGGTGGGGAGAGTGGGGTGGGCACAGGGCAGATTTTCTGAAGAACAATGAAGTCAGCCCACATGTCCTCCTTTCCCCTGCAGGCAGGACTTCTGTAAAGGATGCCCCAATTAATGGCAAAACCTCAACCATCCTTCCAACGGCTGGCTCCAGCTGCTGCTTCTGGGCTAATTTTATTTATTTATTTGTAATTTATACCCAGCTTGCTTCCAAAAAGGATTTGAGGTGGCACTCTGGGCTAATAAAGCATTTAAATTGAAGCATTGCCTCACTTCCAAAGTGCTGCCTGGATAGAAATATTTAGTGAGGAGCCAAGCACAGGGCCGTAAAAGAGGAAACCGTCACGCTCTTCCAGGGAGATGGGTGCCTGGGGAAGCCATCTGACAAGCTTCCCAGTGACAGGGACTTGGAAGGAGGCTGCCACCCTACCCCCCAGTCTCAGCTTTCCTAGACTGCCACAGATTTTGTTGATGAGTGATAACTAGTCCCAAACACACACACACACACACACACACACACACACACACACACACACACACACTCACTGGAGTTGAGTGGGTTATAAAGGTTCCAGGATGGCAGTGAGTGTGTGAAAGCTGGGTGGACCCTTACACATCATGATACAGATGGGGAAACTGAGGCCTTGCATTCCCAAGGCCATATGACTTCTTCCCAGCTGAGGCTCTTTGCCGGCCCCCACACTCAGTAAATTTTCTCAAGGGCTTCTTGCAGCTCTCATGGTCTAATAATCCAAAAGGAGGCAATTCTCTGAGTCTCAAGGATTTCATGTAAAATATTTTGAGATGATTAATCCTGGTAGTTGAGGTAATGTTTGTAAATCCTGTTACCTACAATAAATCTGATCTTTCTTCATTTGCTATTGTCTGCTTAGGGAGTTGTAATATATACTGCACCTCCCTGTGCTCTCAAACAGAAGGGATTATGACGTGGATGCTTTTTGGCAAGTCAATCTTCTTGGTTGACACCAATGACTGCTGTCTAGAATGCAGTACTGTTTTCACAAGCTGCTTTAATGTCTGTTTCTCTCTATGCTAAATGTCCCCAAGATGGTTAGTTGCCTTTTCAATAACTCTCCAGTCTCTACTGCACTGTCAACGCCTCTGGGAGCTTCCTTTAAAAACACTCCACCTCCCAGACCCCACACGGCCCAGTAGAAATATAATGCAAGCTACACGAGCAGTTTGAAATATCCTGTAGCCACATTAAAAACTTTCTTAAGCCCTGGCTGGTGTTTCCAAGTGGTTAGAGCATCGGCCCGTGCACTGAAGGTCTTGGGTTCAATTCCCAGTCAAGGGCAGGTACCTGAGATACAGGTCCTATTCCTGGTCACAGTCACGGTTTGTGCAGGAGACAACCAAGTGATGTGTCTCTCTAACATCGATGTTTCTCTCTCTTTCCCCTCTCTCCCTCCTTTCCACTCTCTCTAAAAAAAAAAAAAAAAAATCAATGGGAAAAATATCCTCAGGTGAGGATTAAAAGAAAAACATTCTTAAAAGGTAGAATCAATTTTAGTAACATTTATCTACCCCACTACCCACTATATAAAAATTATGATTATTTATGGAACCAAAATAAATAATAAAAATTTTACATTGTCTTTTCACACTGTCTTGGTAATGCAGCATGTATTTTCACTTATGGTCTCTCTCCATTAGGACTTGTCACATTGCAAGTGCTCAATAGCCATTTGCAACTTGTGGTTACCATACTGGATATCACAGCTTTGGATTTCTAGTTCTAGCATGCTAAGGTTGCATTTAGGTAAAAAAATAAAAAATAAAAAAAAAATCAGTGTTGAATTACTAAGGGTCTTTTGTAGGCCTGATTGGTGGGCATGTTTAGCTCATGGACTTAGAGTGATTTCTCTTGGCTGTTCATGGGGGTCTTTAGCTCCTTATGTACTGGTTCTCAGCTGTGTTCCAAACTTCAGAGATCATCAGACAAGAGGTTGCCAGGCAAATAAAGCATTACTGCAATTTTATGGGAAAGAATAATTTTCTGATATCTATTGCCTTTGATAAACTCACATTTTTTACACAGTCTAAAAAGGTTATCAAGAAACACAGATATGTGACTTCATACATAGTCACTTAACAATGATTTTTATTTATTTTTACATTTTTATTGAATTTATTGGGGTGACATTGGTTAATAAAATTATGTAGGCTTCAAGTGTACAATCCTATAATACATCATCTGTATTGTGTGTTCACCATCCAAAGTCAAGTCTCTTTTTGTCACCATTTATCCTCCCTTTATTCTCATCTACCTCCCCGCAACCCCCTTTCCCTCTGGTAATCACCACATTGTTGTATATGTCTATGAGTTGAATTGTTCTTTTTTTTTTGCTTAATCCCTTCACCTCTTTCACCCAGCCCCCAATCCCTTCCCCTCTGATAACTGTATGTTTTCTGTCTATGAGTCTGTTTCTATGTTGTTTATTTTGTTCATTAGATTCCACATGTAAGTGAAATCATATGGTATTTGTCTTTTTCTGACTGGCTTATTTCACTTAGCATAATATTCTCCAAGTCCATCCATGCTATCGCAAAAGGTAAGATTTCCTTCTTTTTACGGTTGAGTAGTATTCCATTGTATAAATGTACCACAGAGCTTTTACCCATTCATCTACTGATGGGTACTTGGGCTGCTTCCAGATCTTGGCTATTATAAATAATGCTGCAATGAACATAGGAGTGATATTCTTTCAAATTAGTGTTTCTGGTTTCTTCAGATATATTCCCAGAAGTGGAATCACTGGGTCATAAGGCAGTTCCATTTTTAATTTTTTCAGGAGACCCCATACTGTTTTCCACAGTGGCTGCACCAATCTGCATTCCCACCAACAGTGCACAAGGGTTCCCTTTTCTCCACATCCTCACCAACACTTGTTGTTTGTTGATGTATTGATAGTCATTCTGATAGGTATGAGGTGGTTTTAATTTGCATTTCTCTGATGATTACTGATGTTGAGCATCTTTACATATGTCTATTGACCATCTGTATATCCTCTTTGGAGAAGTGTCTATTCAGATTCTTTGTCCATTCTTTAGTTGGATTTTTTGTTGTTGAATTGTTTAAGTTCTTTATAAATTTTGGATATTAACCCCTTATCAGATGTATCACTGGAGAGACTATGTTCTCCGATTCAGTGGGTTGTTTTCTCATTTTGTTGGTGGTTTCTTTTGCTGTGCAAAAACTTTTTAGTTTGATGGAGTCCCACTTATTTATTTTTATTTTGTTTCCCTTGCTTGAGGAGATAGATCAAAAAAAATATTGCAACGAGAAATGTTTGAGATTTTACTGCTTATGTTTTCTTCTAGGATTTTTATGGTTTCAAGTCTTACATTTAAGTCTTTAATTGATTTTGAGTTTATTCTTGTGCGTGGCATAAGTTGATCTAGTTTCTTTCTTTTCTTTTCTTTTTTTTTTTTTTTGCATGTACCTGTTCAATTTTCCCAACATCATTTATTGAATAGACTATCCTTACCCTGTTGTATGCTCTTGCCTCTTTTGTCATATATTAATTGACCATCAAGTGTGGGTTTATTTCTGGGCTCTCTATTCTGTTCCATTGATCTATATGTCTGTCTTTATGCCAGTACCATGTTGCTTTGATTACTATGGCCTTGTAGTATAGATTGATATCAGCTAAGGTGATTGATTCCTCAAACTTTGTTCTTCTTTTTCAAGATTGCTGTTGCTATTCGGGGTCTTTTGTGATTTCATATAAATTTTTGAAATATTTTTTCTAGTTCTGTGAAGTACAACAACAATGACTTTTAGAGTGCTATCATACTAGCATGGAACCAAATTAATAGGATCAACTCATCAACAAGCATGATTGTTCATCTCTGCCCAGATGAACTCAAAATCAATTTTGCTCTTTGAAGTAACTGAGTTTCCTGAGTGCTCCTATGAGACCCCTTTAATGAACCCTGACAGTTACCGCAGAGCCCCTCTCTGATGCCCTGCACCCATCAAGCTGGAATACGACTGGTGCTATGATTTTGCCCTTCCATTAGACTGAAAGTATTTCAGAGACTAGAGGGAGTGAGACTTCTTTCATTTCTACATTCCCAGCAGCCAACTTGGCACACTGCAGCTACTAATAAATGTTTATTGAATTAGTTAATAAATTAATGAAGATGAAATGCTGCGGAAATAAAAATGCATGGAAAATAACAGGTGCAACACTTTCCTCCAGGAGAAACACGGGTGTTCTCTGTACACATAACATGGGTCCCTACCACATGCCTGTCTCCTGTGTTTCCATGTAAAATGAGGATGTTGGGCTGGCTGCTCCTTATGGGCTCCATCAGCTCTGAGAGTCTACGAGCCTGTAGCATATGGCAGCAAGTGCCCCCACTGAGCAAGAGCCTTGCTCAGTGTGACCATATAATTGATCATCCAAACTAGGATACTTCTGAGAGTGAAAGAGTATGACAGATGTAAACAGGGACTGGGCAAACTGGGAGGTGTGGTCCTCCTGCTCCTACTTCATGGGCCTTCCTGAGTGATCTAATCCCAGCAAATTGCCCTGTGTGTAGTGCCAGTGGCCTGCTCCACTGATGAGCCTGGGTCACCCCAGTCTCATGGCGTATGTCAACTGCTCTCTTCTAGCTTATAAATTCCTCAGGAATCAGGGATATGTCCCCTTCGTCCCTTTCATCTTTCTCCACAATGTTGACTCATGACCAGGCACACAGTAGTAACAGTAATATATATATACATATATACCCAGTGAATGGGAGAATTGGGCTTCGAGTCTACACTGTTTTCTCACCCATCCAACAAATATTTCGTACGTGCTTAATTTGAAGCAGTCCTTGTGCTGGGCCATGAAGCAATAGGCATCAGTAAAAATCACAAGGAATTCCCAATTTGATAGAGAAGATTGGCTTGTATAAGAAGGAGTACTAGAATGGAGGTGAGTCATGTCTGGGAGGGCCGAGGAGGAGAGGTGGACTCTACCTGAGATGAATAAGGGGGTGACAGAGTTGGCAGTTATTCTGTCCAGCATGATCTCTTCCTCTTCTGATAACAGCACCATGATTTTCCTTTAGGAAAACACTCCTGCATCATCCTTTGTCCAGGTGTTACCTGGGGCTGATTGCACCCTATGGCTCCCAGGATGGACACGACACTTGAGCCTGGTCAGTGAGAGCAGCATACACTCTTGGCCACAGGGAACATTTCAGGCGTGGGCATCCAGCAGAGCCAATGATGTTGGTATTGGCACTTCTACTGGAGCACTTGAGAAATACAAGTCCCTGTTCTCCTGGGGAGACTAAAGCTGACAGAATAATGAACACAGAGATGCTCATGACTATCTTGTCACCATAAGGAGAGAAACTCCCTAAAAAAACAGAGCCAAGAGGTGGGAAGATCTGATGGAATCAGTTGAGGGCCAGGATCCAGCCATGCCTGAAGCTGCCTATTGACAGACTTCAGTTTACTGAGCCAATATAGTCTCTTTTCATGCTTAAGCCAGTCTGCATTGCATTCTGTCACACTAAAAGAACTCCTAACTGACCCAAGTTTCACAGACAAGGTATTAAAGACAGTCAGTGAATGATGAGTAGGAATCCATTAGGCAGAGAAAGAGGGAGGGCCTTGCATGGGATACAGGTGTGTGTGACGAGTAGGAATCCATTAGGCAGGAAGGAGGCACAATGACATTGAGATGTAGAGTGGCAAGACACGCTGAGATGCCCTGGGGTCAAACCTGGGTGTCTGGTCTGCTTCGCCTTACCTTTTTATCGTGCCCTACCCCGTGAGTACAGTTATTGGCCGATATAGTAAGTGTTACTGTCTCATTCATGGAGGTAAAGGTAACTAGAATGGAGTCCTGCCCCAGCACTGTCAGCTTCATTTGCTCATTCATCTGTAGATGAAAAAAAAAACACACACAAAAAACAGTATTCAGCGGGCCTGTGCTTCTATTGTTCACCCACCCTGATCCACCACAAAGCTCAAAACCTCTCTTAGCTTGGTACTGAGGGAACTGTAAAATCTTTCTGGTTCTTATGTTGGAATATAGCTTTCATGGAAAAGAGAGAATTCCAGTCTCTCTTTGGGGTACTGGCAAAAAAAAATAAAAAAAAAATAATGATGCCTTCTTACCCCTGTCCCTTCCCTTTTCAACCTAAGCTTGGAACCAACTGTGAGAGAGACACAGGCATCAGCAGGCAAGTCAGCTATGGTTCTGGTAGAACTATGTGGGGATACAGCTTGGGTCATAAGCCAACACTATCCCTGAATCAGATGCTGTGTCCACTCAGGCACCAGGTCTAATGATGAGTCTTGCTCTACAGCACAGAGCTGCCTTGGGAAGTTGACTATATGGCAGGGAGCATCAGAACATACCCCTCCGCAGGTGGGTGGGCAGACAGCAAAAGGGAACCCAACAGGGGCTGAGCCAGACATGCTCAGTCCCCCTCCTCCACAGTCACCAAATATGTCACCACTCTTCCCCTGAAAAAAAAGCCAAAGGAACTACTCCTTTTCACCACTTGCAAAAGGGTGGGATTTCCTATGTAGCAGTTTCAGGGAAGGTGAGCTGCCCTTATAGCAACACACTCCATACTAAGAACTCTATGAGTTAGGGATAAGTTTCAGTTTTTCCTCCTGTTAGCAAGCCATTGAGCCTCTCTGAAGTGCAAATCTTCAATATGAAATAGTTGAAACCCTAGTATTGGATTCAAATGAGATAAAGATTTTGGAAGTGGTTTCATGAGCCACAAAGGCCCATACTGAACATGAGCAGGCATAGTCAGGATTGGCAGAGCAACTCACATGTAAGGCCCCTGGATGGTTCATGTATGCAGTTATTTATGCACAGTGTTCCTACCAAAGGCCTAGGAGTCTAAAGCCTTAGGCAGCTGCATGATGATTCTCCCTTCAATGTTCAACGTCCCTGACCTATTACCGCTCCCCCTCGCCCTCAGGACTCCTCTGAACTAAGAAAACACTCTCCATTTCACTCCTTCCATTTCCTTCTATTATTTCACTTGCTAGCTCAAAGGCCCACATTTAACTTCTTCACCAACGAGTCCCTTCCTCACTCTGAAGTCTGGATACTAATCCCCTCCAGCAACCTGAGAACATTTGATCCATGGCTGTCTTCTTATCAAGTCTTTTGATATCATCAAGCTTGTTGATCACACTCACACTTAAGAAAAAAATCTATCCTCTCCAATTCTCCTTCTAGAGAGATGTAGAATAGAGCTGTGGGTAAGAGCTCAAGCACTGCAGTTGGTTAAGGTTCAAATCCTAGTATTGTTACTTACAAGTTGGGCAATTTTAGGCAAGTTACTTCCCTTCTCTGAGCCTGGGGACAATAATAGAATCTGCCTCCTACAGCACTGAGCAGATTTCATGAGATAAAACATGCAAAGGCTTAGCTGTTTTTATTACCCCTGCTCCCTGGATGGTTTCTCTTCCTCTCCCCAAATGCCACCAATATAAACTCAGTTACTGCTCAGCTGCTCAGGAGTTCATGAGCCAGCCCAATTATATGTATAAAATCTCCATCATCCCCAGTCTCTCACCCTAGGATAGATGACAGTTGAATCCAATCAAAATATCTTAGAACGTATTGATCTTTGACCCTCTCAGAAACTTCTCTATATCCACCCAGAAGATACACGCTCTACTGTGGAAACATCTATAATTCCCTTCTTCTCTCATTTATCCTTTATAGCCCATGCCTGAATACTGAATTCTTTTTTATTGAACTAGCTCTTTTAAAAAAAATATTGGGACTACCCTTAGTCATGCCAGGTCTTTCTATCAGCCTATCCATTGATCTTTCTCTCTCCAGCTGACCTTCCATACAAATGCTAGACTGAACATACCAGCCTTCAACTTAAAAACCAGCTAGTTGGTTCTATTTCCAGTATAGCTGAGTCAGCTCCTAAGAGGCTTGGAAAACAAAACAAACAAACAAACAAAAAAAAACACCAAGAAAACTACTACAAGTTATAAAACCACCCAAAGCTATGAAGAGTTTAAAAAGAGCAGGGCCAATAAATGAATAAATAAATAATAATAATAATAAAATAGCAGGGCCCTAGCTAGTTTGTCTCAGTGGATAGAGCGTCAGCCTGCGAACTGAAGGGTCCCAGGTTCAATTCCGGTCAAGGGCACATGCCCAGGTTGCAGGCTCGATCCCCAGTAGGGGGCATGCAGGAGGCAGCCAATTAATGATTCTCTCATCATTGATATTTCTCTCTCTCTTTCTCCCTTCCTCTCTGAAATCAATAAAAATATATTTTAAACATAAAATACAAAGAAAAAGAACAGGGAGACTTTGAAGAGTCAAAATTTAAAGGAAAGGACCAGCATGGGATGATTTTCTGTTTTACAGCTTTAGCCTAAAGACAGGCTACAGTCATGGCCCAAACTCCACCATTTTTCTGGTTCAAAGAATCAAAGAGCAGAACCTGGGGCAACTACTGTAAGGAAAGATTTCCAAAAGGGACAGAGGGAGAGAAATAGAGCCCTGAATTCTATACATAAATTGTCCACATCTCTGGGTGATCCCTGAACTACGCATGAGCAAGGCAGACTCAAGATAATTTATAGCTAGGGAAACAAAAAAAACTGAACTGAGATTTGAGCTGCTGCCCACTGTAGGTGAGACAGTTTGTGGTATGAGTCTAACCAAATTCCTTGACTGTTAAAACAAAAACATCAACACTCTTCAGAGAAATACATCAGAATCCAGAGACTCCACAACATAACATTCATAATGTCAACAATCTAAAATTACTCAGCATGTGAAGAACCAGTGAAGTGTGAGCCATTCTCAAGGAAAAAGATAATCAATGGAGGCCAACCCTATCTGATATGACCAAGATGTTGAGTTATCAGACAAAGACTTTAAAGCGGCCAATTTAACTATAGTTGATGAGATAAAGGAAAATATACTTATAATGAATGGAAAACATCAGAAATAGAATATACAGAAAAGAACTATATGGAAATTCTAGCAGTGAAAACACTGAAATTTTAAATTTCATTGGTCCTGCCATATGGCTCAGTTGGTTGGAACACTGTTCCATGCACTGGAAAGTCGCAAGTTTAATTCTCAGTCAGGGCACATACCTAGATTGCAGGTTCAGTCCCTGGCTGGGGCATGAACGGGAGACAACCGACTGAAGATTCTCTCTCACATTGATGTTTCTTCTCTCTCCTTTCTTCCCTCTCTAAAAAAGAATAGTAATAGGGTTAGCAGAATAGCAGAACAGAGATGACAGGATAAAGTTAGTGAATTTAGAGATAGAAAAGGAGAGACTGGAGTATAATTCTTTCTAATGCAATAAGATTTCCTGAATATGATGAAAGACATTAATTTACAGACTCAAGAAGCTCAGTAAATCCCAAACAGAATAAATATTAAGACAACAACACCTAGAAATATTAAGACAACATATCCAAACTTAGAAACAAAGAAAAGGTGAAATCTTGAAAGAAACTAGAGAAAATGAACAATGATTTGAATAATTACAGACTTCTGATCGTAAAATATGGAGATCAGACACAGTAGAACAACATATTTAAATGCTAAAACAAAACAAAACAAAATGTCAACCCAGAATCCTAAATCTGGCAAAAATACCCTTTAATAAAGACATTATTTTCCCAGGCCCGGTGCATGGGAGTCGTGCCGGCCTGCAGGGATTGGCCCGCTGTGGGAGCGCCACTCATCCTGGGCAGCTCATCCCCGTCAGCCAAGTGGCACTCCCACTGTGGGAGCCCACTGACCATCAAGGGGCAGCTCCTGCGTTGAGCGTCTGCCCCCTGGTGGTCAGTGCGCAACATAGTGACTGGCCGACCAGTCGTTCTGGTTGTTCTGCCATTTGGTCACTGGGCTATTATTATATAGGATGAAAGAAAACAGAATGTGCTGCTTGCAGATCTATACTTCAAGAAATGCTAAAGGAAGCTCTTTGGGTTGGAAAGAAATGATACCAGAAAGAAACTTGGATTTTTCAGGGAGGAATGAGGAACACTGGAAATGCTATACTGGGTAAAAACAAATGGCCACTGCAGCCTTCAAGAAAGCATGCATGCTCTTCAGCCTGACATCCAATACCTCTCCTTCACACCTCAACAAATACACCTCTTAGCCCCATTTCTTTCACAAGAGACACTTGTGAACTTTTAACAATACCACACTGAGTCCCAACTTTGACCTTTACAAATGCTACTCCCTCTACCCCAAATCCTCTCCCTTCCTTCTTCTATCTATGTAAATCATATGCATACACACTCATGTTACAACTCAAGGAACACTTTGTCTTCCAGGCTGCTCCTGACTGCTCCAGGCCTTGTGTATTTCTGTATGCAGTCCCAAGGAACAGAACAATAAACTGAAATACATTGCTAAAACATTTTGGTGATGTCAAAGCACCTTCCCTTCCATTCTTTCATTCAGTTCTTACAAAAGCAGTTTGAGGCAGGAGAGCAGGTCTGATGACCCACCTTGTATAGGTGAGACAACCAAGCTCAGAGAAACTAAGTGGTTTTCACACAGCTGTACAGCCAGAGCTTAGAAAAACTGGTACTAGTACTTGGCTCTCAGACTCTCATCCCAGTTCTCTGTCCACTTGGCCACACTGATATACCTCATATAGTGTCTGCCGGTAACCAATTTATAATCATCTTGCATTATAAACTTATCATACAGCTACAAAAAGTTAAATTTTAAGACACCAGCTCAATACACCCCTAGATTGAAAATCTTGAACCTGGCCAAGTATCAGAAATATTCATGAAAACTTCAAATTCCAGAACTTATAACAAACAAACTGAATCAGAATCTCTCTGGAAATATGCATTTTTTAAAGTTCCATAGGTGATTCTGATACACAACCAGAGCTGAGAACCTCTTCACTCATGACTAATCATCAAATGACTAATCCAAACGGTGGGGCGATGTGAGGAGAAATGGGTGTGGGGTGGGATGCCACAAAGAAGGGTAAGTCTGAGTAGAGGGATGAAGGAGGAACATTTTGGGTTGGTAGAGAAAAGGGGGGGTACATTTAGGGCTGGTGTTGGGAAGGGGGGGTCAGAAGATTGATATGTGTTCAGGAGATGGACTGTTTCTGAGCAGAGGTTCACTGATCTAAAGGAATCAGGATATAAGGATGAGAATGCAATGGCCAATGTAGAGGATAAATAGGAAGGGCAGGAGACAGGAGATTAGGGATAGGATGCCTGAACCCTACCATGCACTCCAAGAGTGTTTCTGTCCATAATCCTTACCTTAGGGCTCTTACTCTCAGGCCACTTTGAGTGGATTCTATGTTCTGTGATCTTTCTCTGACTCCCAACCCTATGAGCTTGTCCCTCTCTCACAGCCCTTATTCATCTCTACTCTGTGTTCTTATTAACCCCCATCCAGAGCTTTGACTTCCTCAATGGATGCTGCTGATCTTTACATCCCCTAGATTGGTTACTCTCACCCAGGGGAAATTTTGTCCTCTAGGGGACATTTGGCAATGTCTGGTGATATATTTTGGTTGTTACAATTAGAGGAGGGTATATTACTGGCATCATGCTAAATATCCTACAGTTATAATTCAAGGAACATTGTAACAAAGAATTATCCCTGCCCAAATGTCAGTGTGCTAAGGATGAAAAACGCAGGCTTAGATAATTGCTTTACTAACACTTAAACTTAAGTTACTATTTAATATGAGTAATTCAACATTGAATAATAAATTAATAAATCTGATTAATCCAGTGAAGGAAAAAAGGATTTGGATCTGTCAGCCACCTTTGACTCCCAGATTTTTAAATTTCATAGGTAGTAAAGTCATAAAAACAAAAAACTGGAGAGATCAACATATAATTGCTAACTTTTCTTATTGCCATGTATAAGCATAAAAATAAAACTACCAACTACTATAAGGATTACTTCCTAAAATAAAGGACATTTAAACTATCAAAATGTAATATAATAAAAATAACACAGGAAGATATTACCAAGAAAGGTCAGTACAGCAGCAAACAGTTGCTGTATGCTAGTGAAAAGTTCACTTTAGCCAGCCCTAGACCACTGCTCACCAACTTGGGAACCTCGGAATGAGACTACACGCTTCTGGAGAGCAGGGCTCTTGTCTTACAGGTAGTCCTCTAACGCTTTATGCTGAGCAGCCCAGGGAAGGCTGCCAAGGCTGCCCTACCTGTGCTGCGAACCCCTACCTTATATTCCAAGGAGAGCAAAGTCTCTGTCTTAGAAGCCCAGCTCCACTTGTGGACTGCATAGCCGTTGTAGTCGTTGGTGGTCCCGCCTTCCTCATCCAAGACCAACACGTATGGGCAGCTAGGAGAGACACATAAGTGAGGAGCTGCCACCAGGCCCCTGAAGGAAGCCCTCATTACTACTGGCAATAGGCAGGCAGGGTTCTGAGATTCTGCCCCAGCTGGAGAAAGCATGGTTTCCTGCAGCAGCCTCACTTCTCTTGCCTAATATGGTGTGAGGTCCCTTCAGTCCTGTTGCTCCTACTGGGAGAATTGTTGGGAAGGGCAGGTCTGAGGGAGATGATGGAGGCTCCAGGCCAAACCCAGAGGGACAGAAATGGAATGTGTACCCTGTGGCTTAGGATCCTGAGTATACGAGATCTTAGTTATCAAAATGGGAACATCTATAACATGAAAGTAAGTCATTTTTTTCAAGAACCATTCCTTATGAAAGGCCAAGCAAAACACAACTATTGGCTAGCAAAAATATGTGCTTCTTTTAAAACACCCCACAGAAGTGGTGCCTGTGGCTTCTACTTCACTCTCTCTTGGTTTAAACACTTCTCTCCACTAAAGAATTGTTCCATTAATCTAGCCAAAAATCAAGATCTTAATGCTGTGGGGATACAAGTGAAGTAGGTCTTGGAGAGCTGCCATTCTCATCAGCTATGATAATACTGATGTAGCAAGTGAGGGCCTCAAAGTACCTATGTTTCTGTAGGCATTGCCTTGTGGCCTTAACTTCTGAACACTGCCTGACCTCTCCTTTCCCCAAGGACTCTTACTTGCCCTCTCTGTCCTGCGGCCCCCTTTGTCACCCTCAGAGATACTTCCATGGGGCCATAATTCCTTCAACCCACTCACCAGGACTTTAGGTTGTAGTGAACGCAGCCCTGGCCTTCAGCATTGAACAGGGCCAGGAAGGAGAAGCTGGGTGTGTCATTAAAGAGTAAGGTGATGGTTCTCCCTCCGCAGCACGTGGGGATCTGACACATGGCAATGTTTCCGGAGGGATAGCTGGCAGAAATGGTTAAGTAGAACTAACAAAAAACTCTCCAGGTTCTATTCTCAGATGCCCCATGGAAAGCAAGTCTACAAATCTGTTGTCTAAATGGTACATCATTCCTAGTTTTTAAAGACCCTCCCTGAACTTTGCATAACAACTCATTGACTGTGGACCTGACCATGCCTCTGGTGCTTTCCTGTATCTTCTTTATAGTCCACACAACCACCCTATGGTATATATTATCATCTCCATCTCACAGATGAATAGGCTTTCCCTGCATTTGAGGGGGTCCATGGGATGTGGGACTTTCACTGCTAAAATCAGGGAAGTCCTTGGCAAACCAGGATGAGTTGATTACCATACAGATGAGAAATTCAAGGTGCAAAGAAATGGTCTGCCTCGCATCACACCACAAGGAAGTGGCAGAGCCAGTATACTGAGGCCAGCAATATCTCTAATCTCTCAGGCTGCCTCCCCTTCTGACCAATCCAGGAGAGCAGCCAACGTCTAGCTGCTCATTTCCTACCAAGAGGCCCCCAGAAACCTTGGTCCCAAATAAGAGGGGTATAGTGAGGGCAGCTACTATCCTGTTTGCAGGGATTTCAGAAGTACCCCATATGGAAAAATTTCAGTGGTTGGTACTAGAATCCACCCTCTTAATCCTTTTACACAAACTCATAAATAATCAACAGAAATTCTAAAAGTAAACAAATAGAAATTTTGAGGCTGAATAGTATAATAAATAAAATGAAAAAATTCACTGGATGGGTTTCTCAGTAGATTGCCACAGTAGAGGAAAAAAAATCAGTGAACTTGAAGAGAGATAAATTGAAATTATCCAGCCTGAGACATGGGAAAATAAAAAAAGAATGAAGAAAAATTAACAGAAATCGGGAGACCTGTGGGAGACTATCAAATTGAGCAACACATACATAATACGAGCCCCAGTAGAGGAGAGAGAGAAGGGGGCAGAAAGAATATTTGAATAAATAATGAATAAAAACTCTCCAAATTTTATGAAAGACACCAATCTACACAATAAAGAGACTCAACAAATTCCAAGTAGGATAAATTTAAAAATAGCCACACTGAGACACATTAGTATCAAACTGCCAATAGACATAGACAGAGAGAATCCTGAAAGCAGCAAGAGAAAAGATACTCGTCATGTACAAGGGATCTTCGATAAGATTAATGGCCAATTTATCATTAGAACCCTTGGAGGCCAAAAGGCAATAGAATGGAATATTTATAGAGCTGAAAGGAAAAAAAAAATCTGTCAACCAAGAATTCTGTATCAAGCAAAACTATCCTTCAAAAAAATGAAGGAGAAATTAAGACTTTCCAAATAAACAAAGGGTGAGGAAATTCACCACTACAAAAAATGTTAAATGGAGTCCTTCAGGCTGAGATGAAAGTACACTTGGCAGTAACTCAAAGACATGCAAAGAAAAAGAGGACATCAGTAAAGTAACTCTATAAGTAAATATAAAAGCCAGTATTATAGTATTTTTTTGTTTATAATTCCTTTCTTTCCTATGTGATTTGAAAAAGCAAATGCATAAAATAATTGTAAATCTATGTTAATGGCATACTTCAACTGAACTTCGCACATCAAATAAACTTCGGGCATTTAAACTGAGCAGGGCCAATTGAACTGAATGAGTCAATTGAGAAAAAAAATCCACCTATCAGTGGACCAGCACAGTTAAAACCTGCCATGCTCAAGGGTCAACTGTATAATGTGGAAGAACGTCAAAAACATTATGCTAAGTGAAAGCAGCCAGATATAAAAGGGCACATGCTGCATGATTTTACTTATAAGAAATATTTGGAGTAGGCAAATACATAGAAGTGAAAAGCAAATTAGCAGTGATCAGGAAGGGTAGAGGAAGGAAAATGGGAGTGACTATTTAAAAGGTATGGGGCTTCCTTTTGGGGTGATGAAAGTCTGGAAATAAATAGTGGTAATGGTTGTATAATATTGTGAATGCACTTGATACCATTGGTTAAAATGGTACATTTTATGTTATGAGCAGTTTATCATATTAAAAAATGCTTACCTCACACTATGGTTCTGAGTGATCAACACATCTCTAAAGGAATAGTGCTGGGCACAGTACTGAACACAGAGTGACCAAGTTTTATATCTTTACTAGAGGCATATTGCACAAAACTCGTGCACAAGGGAGGGGGGACCCTCAGCCGGGCCTGCACCCTCTCACAGCCCAGGACCCCTTGAGGGATGTCTGCCTGCCGATCCCTAGGATCGGCCCTAAGCCGGCAGGCAGGCATCCCTCTCATAATCCAGGAACCCTCGCTCCTTACTGCCTGCCTACTTGCTCTTTACCACTTGGCTCGCTGCTCCTTAGCAGCAGGCTCCTTACCGCTCGGCTCACTGATCCTTAGTGCTGCTGCGGAGGCAGGAGAGGCTCCTGCCACCACCCTTGTGCCGTGAGCTGGGCTTCTGGCTGAGTGGTGTTCCCCCTGCGGGAGTGCACTGACCACCAGGGAGCAGCTCCTGTGTTGAGCATCTGCCCTTGGTGGTCAGTGCGCATCATAGCGACCAGTCGTTCTGCTGTAACTGTCACTTAGGCCTTTATTATATAGATATCAATGTGATGAGTTTATATCTTCATATGAAAAAGGACTTTGAGGGAAGTTCGGAGGGAACTCAACGACTAAGGCAGCGGTTCTCAACCTGTGGGTCACGACCCCTTTGGTGGTCGAACGACCCTTTCACAGGGGTCGCCTAAGACCATCCTGCATATCAGATATTTACATTACGATTCATAACAGTAGCAATATTACAGTTATGAAGTAGCAACGAAAATAATTTTATGGTTGGGTCACAACATGAGGAGCTGTATTTAAAGGGCCAGAAGGTTGAGAACCACTGGACTAAGGGAAGAGATTCAGGGAAATGCTGACAACCCAAATGAAATGCATATTGGGATGGTTCTGGGGTCTGCCCATCAGGAGCTTTTTGGCATTTCAAGGGCAGAAATATTATTTCTACCTGAGAGCTTTTCCCAGTATCTCTGTAAAAATAGAATCAATTGCTGAACCTACTGTTCTGTGAAGCCATGAGAAGAGAGAAGTGTTTTCCAAACATTTTCTTTACTCAAGAGGGATCCAATAGCTGCATCGTGTGTTTTAACCATTTGAACACAATAACAGAATTTCTCCTTCAAGATCACTGGGTCTAACTTCCTCATCTTATAATGGAGGGAAGTGAGGCCCAGAGAGATAAAGTGACTTGTGCACAGTCACCAAGAAGAACTAAGCCCCAAACCCAGACCTCTTGGGACTCCCAAATAGGAAACACATTAATTGCCAGGATGTGTTCATTGTTGGGGTATGAGTCAAGCATGCTAGTAGCAATGGCCTGCAGGTTTTGGGTGGTCCCACCCAGGTTGGGCTTGGGAATCTGGGACAGGTGAGAAAACATGGAGGCCAGCAGGCTGGTGTTGGGCCCTGATTATAAACTAGTCCACCCTCTCTGGTCCCACCAATAACCTAATAACCTTCATGAGGAGCTCAGGGGGATGATCCTATCCAATGCAGTGTAAAGTTAGAAAAGGGGGGAGAGGGAAGCCCCATGACCCATAGGGAGCAGCAGCTACCCTGGAAGGAGTTTGCTGTGTTCAATATTACAGGGCACATTAGAAGCAGGGCTGAGCAGAGTGTGATGAATGGACTCATTTACAGTCATAGAAACAATACGATTCCTTTGACGGGGCACTTAAATTCTGAATTCCCAGTTCAGCGGAGAGGAGGCCCAATGAATTGAGGGGGGTGTTGCCAAGCAGGCCTGTCTGGACAGCTTGTTTGACAGCTCAGAGAGCTGCCCTATTCTCCAAAGGTAGAGAACACAATACCCAGTGGTTTTATCTATCCCCTTCCATATTCTCTATTTTGCTCTCTGTTGGAGGAAACAATCCTAAAAGGCATAAAAACGGTGCCAGAGAGAGGGCCCTAAATAGAGATGAGGCAGCCCTGAATCCAGGCCTGGCTCTGCCACCAAATTCCTTTTGTGACATCGAATGACTCAGACTACCCATTCCTAAAATGAAGGGACAAGACTGAATAATGGCTTAGTGTCTCCCCTCTTTGACACCTTGTCTAACTCAGACTGCAAAACCTGGAATAAGTGTTTCGCCCTGAGTCTGGCCTTACTGACAAATGGGTTGGGCATCTGTGGTCTGGTCAGGCTCTAGAACATGTTGGGGAGTGGGTAACAGGATCTCTACAAGAAACGTAGGGGTCCAAGGTGACTTCCCACCAAGATGTTCTCCAAAGGGAGTCCTCTCTGACCTAGAAATTACTCTTACGATCCTGGAGGACCTGTCACCAGGTTTCTTGGATTAACTGAAAAAACCAAAGTAAATACTCAGGCCCAGAAGTTCTCTAGGGCTAAGTTGCTGGGGACAAGGGGCAGCCCCAAATAAAAGGATACTAAACGAAGGAAGACCCATCACAGAAGGTGTAATGCAACTTGATGTTCTTCTTGCCTTTCCCCTCCTGAGACTGCCGAATGAAGTGAGCATGGGAGACGGAAGACTGATGAGGAGTGGGAGTGGGAGGGTGATAGGAGCTCACGGTTGACCCCGAAGGAATGGGCATCTTTGCCCCGTAGTTGCGTAACATCATGGGGCAGAAGACATTCTTCCCTTTCCACAAGGTCCTTTCGGCTTCTCTGCAGGGAAAACCAGCATATCTTCTAGCCACCTGGCTCTCACTCACCAGTGAAGTTCTCTACAGCCCCTCCCCAGCTCCTAGAACTCCCATCTCATTCCCTGTCCCAAAAGTACCTGTCCCCACCTCTTACCCTCATCCTTAAAGTTAGTATTTTTAGGAAGAACTGGGAAGAGGCTGGTGCAGCTCTGAGAACAGTCCTTTCCATCTTTAGCGCTAGGTAAGGACCAAGGAGTAGAACTGTGTGCTGAAGGGGAACCCGGGGGAGCTGGAGGCTTTGCTCACCCTCTAGTCCTGAGGTTACAGGGAAAGAGAGCTTCCTTCCTGAATGTAATAATAAGGAGTAAAACTGAGCGGCTTCCTTTTATCCATGTTCTGTAGCTGTAGTAATATTCAATGGCCCAGGAAGCCCAAGACATATATGGCTTAGAGGTGACTAAGTTTCAAGTCCTTTATTGCCCATAGTTTGGGCTTCAGAGAAATGTAGACTCAACTTGCTAGGACTTGTTGGATCCATCTATAATAATAAAAGCGTAATATGCTAATTAGACCAGAGGACCTTCTGTGAGGGAAGCCAGGGCTGTGAGGGAAGCTCGGGTCCTGGGTGCCTGCTGGCGGCTGGAGGGAAGCCCAGGTCCCGGGGGCCAGAGGGAAGCTGGTGCCGGCAGACGGGGGAAGGAAGGCCTACTCTTGCATGAATTTCATGCATTGGGCCTCTAGTAATACCAAAAATATCATTAATCATCCATGTCAATTTTTGTTTTTTGTTTTGAGAGATACTTCCTTTTTTTTTTTTTTTTGCAGAACTCTGACAAATTATGGTAAGAAAAAAACATTCAGGGCACAAAGGTTGTATATGCTAAGAAGTCCCGTAAAGGATATGGTATCACTGGTGAAAAGGCAAAGATCAATGCCTTGGGGTCAGGCCCACCAAGCTGAGGGACTTCAAGCAATGCCTCAGTTTCCCCACCCACAAAATGGGCATCAATCCCATCTTCCTCATAAGGCCATACAAGGACTGAAAAGGATTGTGAGGAAGGACTGGGAACAAGTCATCACCCTGTCACTATTATTAGGGGTACTGGGTAGCTGACACTTCCTGGTACTCAGTCACCTTTGTGATTTTCCCTTTATGCACAGATGATTGCCAGCCCTGCCCTCCTCTCCGATCTACCCCCAACGTCTAAAATGCTCACATATGACGACACATCTCTTGCAGCTTCTCCCGGGCCTCAGGACAGGGGTCACTGATCTCCACTTTGTCAGAGGCAGTTCCTGTTTCTCGTTGAGAGGGTGATGAAGTTATCTCTTCCAAATTTTTCATTTTGCCTATAGTTGTAAAAAGGTTAGGGACAGAGTTTTAGAAAATGGTTTCTCCTGGGGAAGAGTGGTGGGGTGGGGAGGAGGAGAACCACATCTCCTGAGAGTCAAAATAATCAAGAGAATCATTTATGCTTCCTGGGCACAGGTCACTGATAAAACAGATGTCACTCTGCAAGTCAACCAAGAATGTGTGTGGAGCATACTTGTACAGTGATGAATCCAGCTATGCTTCCCCAAGGGCAGCCTGGTTGTAGGTGGGGGGGACATAGATGTGCTTGCCATGGATGCCAATATGATTACCTTCTGATGTTTCTGATTAAACAAAAAAGTTTCAATTCCATCTCAATTGGCTTGAACACTTCTCTGATGTTGGCTATCTCAGGCCTTCTGCAGAGGGTATTGTGGCCCCATTGAGAACTGGACTGTAATTTTTTTTTAATATTGTGATAAAATTCACATAACTACTATCTCAAACATTTTTAAGTGTACAGTTCAGTGGTATTAAATTCATTCACACTGTTGCACAACTACCACCACTATCCATCTCTATAACTCTTTTCATCTTGTAAAATTAAAACTTTGTACCCATTAGACCAGTGGTTCTCAACCTTGGCTGCACATTAGAATCACCTGGGAATCTTTTTAAAATCCTGATTTCTGGGCCTCATCCTCCAGAAATTCTGTTTCTTTGTTACTAATGTTGTGACCTCACCCCATAACAAAGAAACAGAATTTCCAAAGGATGAGGCCCAGAAATCAGGATTTTAAAGATTCCCAGGTGATTCCAATGTGCAGCCAAGGTTGAGAACCACTGCATTAGGCAATAACTTCTATTCCCCCTCTCCTAGATCCTGAAAAATACCATCCCACTTTCTGTCTCTATGGTTTTGACAGTGATGAATCAAGCTATGCTTCCCCAAGGGCAGCCTGTTTTACTTATATATGAGGTATAAGTTAAAAAAAAAAAATTACTTATACCTCATATAAGTAGATTCATACAGTATTTGTCTTTGTGTGACTGCTTTATTTCAGGTAGCACAAAGTCCTCAAGGTTCATCCATGTTATAGCATGTGTCAAAATTTCCTTCCTTTTAAAGGTTGAATAACATTTCATTGTTACTGTAGATTGCATTTTCTTTATCCATTCATCCACTGATGGACACACGGGTTGCTTCCACATTTTAGCTATAGTGAATGCTGCTGCTATGAACATGGGTGTACAAAAATCACTCAGAGACCCTGTTTTTAATTCTCTTGATCTATACCCAGATATGGAATTGCTGGATCTTCTGGTAATTCCATTTTTTGTTTTTTGAGGAATTGCCACACAGTGTTCTACAGTGGCTGTACCATTTTATATTCCCATCAGCAGTGCACAAGAGTATATCCATCCTCTTCCACTCTTGGTTTTTTTGTTTTTGTGATAATAGATATCCTACTTGGGTAGGATGAGGTAGCATCTTATTATAGTTTTGATTTGTATTTCCCTAATGATTAGTGATATTAAACATCTTTCATGTGCTGATTGGCTATTTTATATGTTCTTTGGAGAAATACATTTTCAAGTGCTTTGCCCATTTTAATTCAGCTTGCTTTTTTTGTTATTGAATATTATATGTTCTCTATATATTCTGGATATTAATCCTTATGATATATAAAAATATTTTCTCCAATCTATGAACTGCCTTTTTACTCTGTGGATAGTGTCTTTTGATGCACAAAGTTTAAAAATTTTCATGAAGTCCAATTGGTCTATTTTTTCTTGTATTGCCTATTCTGTAGTGTCATATCCAAGAAATCATTGTCAAATCCAATGTCATAAAGCTTTTCTCCAATGTTTTCTTCTAAGAGTTATATTGTTTTGGTTCTTACATTTAGGTCCTTGATCTATTTAAAGTTAATTTTTGTATATGGTGTTAAGTAAGAGTCCAACTTCATTCCTTTGCAGGTGGTTGTCCAGTTTTCCAGCACTAATTATTGAAAAGACTGTATTTCCCTATTGAATGGTCTGGGCACCCTTGTAAAATCATTTGATCATATATGCAAGAGTTTACTTCTGAGCTCTCTATTCTATTCCTTTGGTTTATATATCGGTCTCTATACCAATACCACACTGTAGCTTTGTTGTTAGTTTTAAAATCAGAAACTGTGAGTCCTCCAGTTTTATTCTTTTTTCAAGACTGCTTTGGCTACTCAGAGGTCCCTTAAGATTCCATGTGAATTTTAGGATGAGTTTTTCTATTTCTGAAAAAAAACATAATTGGGGTTTGAATAGCAATTGCAGTAAAACTGCAGACCACTCTAGATGGTACTGACATTTTAACAATATGAAGTCTTCCAATCCATGAATGTAGAACATGTTTCCATTTACTTATGTCTCTCTTCATTTCTTCCAGCAACAATTTATGATGGTAGCCATTCTGGCAGGTATGAGGTGGTACCTCATTATTGTTTTAATTTGCACCTCTCTGATGATTAGTGACTCTGAGCATTTTTTCATATGTTTCTTGGCCATTTGTATGTACTCTTTGGAGAAGTGTCTATTCAGGTCTTCTGCCCATTTTTTAAATGGATTGTTTGTCTTCCTTTTGTAGAGTTATATGAGTAATTATATATTTTGTAAATTAATCATTTACCAAAAGTATCATTGTCAAATATATTCTCCCATACAGTGAGTTCCCTTTTCATTTTGATGCTGGTTGCCTTTGCTGTGAAGAAGCTTTTTAGTTTGATGTAGTGCCATTTGTTTAGTTTTTCCTTTTGTTTCTCTTGCTCTAGGCAACATATCTGTAAAAATTCTGCTACATGAGATGTCAGATACTTTGCAGCCTACATTTTCTTCTGGGATTTTTATGGTTTCATGACTTACATTTTAAGTCTTTTATCCACTGTTAGTTTATCCTTATGTATGGTAGAAGTTGGTGATATAGTTTCATATTTTTGCATGTACTTGTCCAATTTTCCCAATACCATTTATTGAAGTGACTGTATACTCCTTTGTTTGCTTTTTCCTCCATTGTCAAACATTAAACATAATGGCTTGTGTCAATTTCTGGGTTTTCTGTTCTGTTCCATTGATCTATGTGCCTGTTCTTGTGTCACTACCAGGCTGTTTTGATTACAGTGGCTTTGTATTATAACTTTATATTCAGTATTGTGATCCCTTCAACTTTGTTCTTCTTTCTCAAGATTGCTGTTTATTTAGAATCTTTTTTGGTTCTATATAAGTTTTTGGAATGTTTGTTCTAGATTTTTAAAGTATGCCATTGGTATTTTAATAGGGATTGCATTGAACGTATACATTGCTTTAGGTAGTATGGCCATTTTAATGATGTTAATTCTATCAATCCATGAACATGGTATATTCTTCCACTTGTTTTTATCTTCTTCTATGGATATAAAATTCTTTTTTTGTTTAATTTTTTTATTAAGTTATTACATATGTGTCCTTATCCCCATGTTACACCCTATCCCCCTCACTCATGCCCTCATGCCCCTGTTGTCTGTGTCCATTGGTTAGGCCCGTGGTCAGCAAACTGCGGCTCACGAGCCACATGCGACTCTTTGGCCCCTTGAGTGTATCTCTTCCACAAAATACCACGTGCGGGCACGCACGTACAGTGCGATAGAAACTTCGTGGCCCATGCGCAGAAGTCGGTATTTTGTGGAAGAGCCATACTCAAGGGGCCAAAGAGCCGCATGTGGCTCGCGAGCTGCGGTTTGCCGAGCCACAGTTTGCTGACCACTGGGTTAGGCCTATATCCTTCCATATAAGTCCTTTGGTTGATCTCTCCCCCTTACCCCCACCCTTCCCCTACCTTCCCTATGAGGTTTGACTGTCTGATCGATGCTTCTCTGTCTCTGGATCTGTTTTTGCTCATCAGTTTATGTTGTTCATTACATTCCACAAATGAGTGAGATCATGTGATATTTATCTTTCTCTGACTGGCTTATTTCACTTAGCATAATGCTCTCCAGTTCCATCCATGCTGTTGCAAATGGTAAGAACTCCTTCTTTTTTACCGCAGCATAGTATTCCATTGTGTAGATGTACCTGGATATAAAATTCTTGATTGACTGTTTTTTCTTTTAGTGCTAGTTCCTGTGGCTTCCAAAATTTCTGATGAGAAATCTGTTAATAATCTTATTGGGGATTACTTGTATGCAATGATTTGCTTTTCTGTTACTGCTTTTAAGATTCTGTCTTTTGAAAGTTTGATTATAATGTGTCTTGATCTGGGTCTAAGTTCCTCTTAGATGGAATCTTTGGTGTTTATATTCAAGACTTTCATCAAATTTGGTATTTTTCAGCCATTTCTTCTTCAAATATTTTCTGTTCCCCTCTCTCTCTCTCTCTCTCTCTCTCTCTCTCTCTCTCTCTCTCTTCTCCTTCTGGGACTCCTGCATTATGTATGTTGTGCTACTTGATGGTATCCCATTGGTTCCTTAGGCCCTGTTCATTTCTTTTCAATCTTTGTTTTTCAGATTCAATAATTTGCATTGCCCTATCTTCAATTTTGCTGCTTCTTCTGCCTGTTCAAATCTGTGAATGATAATGTTTTATGTTTGTTTTACATTTTTTTAACAGTTATTTTCTGTGTGTGACAAGTGTTAGGTGATCTGAGGATATGATTATGTGAAATTTTGGAGATAATCCTCCATGACTGAAGTTCCAAAGGCATCTATTCAGGTCCTGCCTGCTTCTGAGTTTCTACTGCCCACCCAGCTGGAGCCACATGCTTTCCCTGGATATATGCAGGCTCAACTTCACCTTGATCTCAAAAATAAAACCTGGCTTCATGTCGGCATTTCTCAGGCTCCAAGTCAGCTCTGAGGACCGCAGAAGGATTTTTCCTCGCTGTTAGCCAAGTCTTGGGGTTTCTGGCCAGTACTGAGTACCATCTCTGCTTTCTGACACCCTGTGTGATTCCTGGTCCCTTCCCCAACTCTTCCTACCACCAGAGACCAAAGACTTGACTCTGAGGACCAATTACCAGCTGGTTGACTCCTGGAACATCTGCTGGCCTGAGAATCCATGTCTGGCCTATACCTGGTTGCCTTGGGTCCTCAGGGGTGGCAGTCTCTTGCCTCTATAAGGAACATTGTTGACAGACTTATCTCAGTTCTCTCCTTGTATAGTTGGGTTACTTTCCAGAAAGAACTATTGTCCTCTGGGAGTAAGTCCAACTCCTGGAACCTATCTGCTCCAAGTCTTCCTGGCCCTACAACTCCAAATGAGGTCAGCTGGTGAGATGTAATAGCACATGAGCATGGAATAGATAGAAGGAGAGGAGGGGAGGAGAGGGGAAATAGGGGGGCATTGTAATACTGTCAACAATAAAATAAAGCAAAATTAAATTAAAAAACTATTAAGGAAGGTTCCATTCTAGCATGTATGTATGAGAATAATTCTATAATCAATAAGAAATGCAGCATCACTGAACATATATCCTAGTGAGAATGATGAAAGAGTAAGACAAATTGCATATTGATGGGATATCAGAGGAAAACAACCAGAGGGAGACAAAGAGACCAACCAACGTAACTAATTTTTACTTAGGAACAACCTTACTCAAGGCATTACACTTGAGGTCACTAGAAAGAAAAATCATGAAATCATTGTGTGTCTTGAGGGTACTTTGTTTTGCCTTAAAGTGATTGTATCAATTTAGGGCCAGGAGGGGATATGATAAAACCGAGTACATAAAGTGGGATTCCAGAAGTGATGTGGGCTATTGAATCACAGTGAGAGAAGATGCATCAACAGGGAAATGAGAGGGGACAGCTGAGTCTACTCTGTGCAGGGAAGCTGAGGTTGTCAGCTCCATTAGGAAGTCAGTCTTTGTTTTGGAGTCCACATGTGTACCCTTGGCATTTAGAACAGTGACTGAAAACTAACAATTGTTTAATAAACATTTGTTCACTAACTGAAAGGATATAGGATCAGCTTGATATGGTGAGGCCTGGAGGAAGGCAAATCACACAGCCAGCCAGGGGCAGGGGCAGGAATAAAATCCAAACTTCTCAACTTCCAGCCTTACCTCCAGTGTCTGTGGGAATCAATTGGACAGTCTTTGAGCATTCCTACCTTATATTGATCCTACCACCACCTCTTTTGAATGTAGTCCTCCCCTTCCTTCCCCATTCCACCACTCTGTAACCAAACCCTGGGGAGGTGAGGGGAGGCCTGGAAGTTCCTTGAGGCCTTAACCTGCCTTATCCACTCATATCTCTTCTAAGCTTCTGTCTTCACAGTCATTGCTATACTGTTTGGCCTCATCTGACACCCATTCTTTCCCTTAAGCCTTTCCTTCTGTTGTATGTCTTCCTTAATAGAATAGGAGTGCTCTTTGTGTTTTCTGCCCACATGAACAGGCCCAGTTTAAGACAAATTGTTAGATTTTGTATACAAATATCTCTCTTCAGATATTGGTTCCCCCACTTGCTTTGTGAGTAGGAGCAACACAGATCTCTCTGATCAAAGGGGTTCAGGCTGGGCTACTGAGGGAATAGAAAATGTGGGTTTGGAAAAAGTGTTGTCCCAGGTGAAGAGAACCACATCACCAGGAATGGAGGGCATGTAAACATTCAAATGATAAGACTCTACTTTGGAGTAACTGGGTTGAGATGTGTCATCTTTACTGGAAATAATCTGTTTCAAAAGCTTCTATCAACAGCCAGGGAAACTGTATATCCTTCCTATCAAAAAACCAAATCAAACTATGCTATTAACCTAAACAGGGAATCTTACATCCACCTCCCCCACCCCTCCTCCCTACTCCACAGATGGGCTAAGAGGTCTTGCTTGGAATCACTGTTACCTGTTTTCTTCTTGCCTTCCTTTCCAGTTGAGAGGGAAAAGCTCAGACAGCCAGTAGAGGCTTCATAGATAAGCTGATAAGGCGAGTTCACTCCCATTATTGAGGTGCTCAGGAAGGGCTCTGGAGTGGAAGAGAGAGGGATCCTTCTTTTAATTTTTTAACTCTATTTTTTCTTAACAAAAAATATAATACGGATTTTTTTGTTCTAGCAGTATGATAGACCAGATATTCTGGTGCTCAATTGTACAAAACAACCACCTCTTGGAATAAAAAGGCTTTTTGATAAACAAGCAGGCTCTGAGTAATTAAGGGAAATTAAGGTTCCTTTCTAGAGTACCCCCCTTCCAATATCTCTCAAGAGTGAAATGACTAGTGCAGGGAGCAGCAATCAAACACAAAAGGTAACATGATGTTACTAAAGGGCAAATGCAGATATAACTGCTGTATTAAGTAGAGAAAATAAGCAATGAGCTGACTAGAAGGAAAGTCACCTATTTCCTCTTATCCAAGACATAGAAATTAGATGCTTCTTCAACAATCAGATCAGTCTCTTGCAGAATCATGCTGTCTTCTGTAGAATAATTTGATTATCTGAACATTTAAGAATTAGAATTTAGCAGCCCCATCACTCTGGAAAATCTTAATCATTCTTACATAAATCTCATCAAATCCTTTCCTTATTCTCCCCCCAAATATGGCCATTCCACTGGTTGTTAGGAAATGGTAAGCATTTCATTTATTGGCATGGTATATACAAATCCATAAAGAAAATGGCAAACCTGACTTGACAAGTAGACAGAGATAATAACCAGAGATTGCAAACTGGATGATGCAACGCACAATCACTCACCATCACTAGTGATCCAAAAATCACTAGTGTACAATAGAGCACCAAAAATTGAAATCAGAACAACCTTCAGCACCTTTTAACTTAGCAAAAAAGAAAAGAACTAACAATAGCCAATGCTGATAAAGATGGAATAAAACTAATCAACCCTGCTGGTGTAGAGAAAATGCATCAAGAAAGCAATATTTGCCGAGGCCGGTTTGGCTCAGTGGATGGAGCGTCAGCCTGCGGACTGGGAGGTCCCGGGTTCGATTCCGGTCAAGGGCATGTGCCTGGGTTGCGGGCATATCCCCAGTGGGGGATGTGCAGGGGGCAGCTGATTGATGTTTCTCTCTCATCGATGTTTCTGACTCTCTCTCTCCCTTCCTCTCTGTGGAAAATCAATAAAATATATTAAAAAAAAAAAAAAAAGAAAGCAATATTTAGCAAGAGCTAAACACATATTGAGACCCTCTGCCCCAATAAGCCCTCTCCTGGGTAATCAATCTTAATCACCAATACAACAGAAATAAGTGACATATATAAAGTTGCATATTACAATGCATAAAATACTAATAACAAAAAACCTGGAAACCTAAGCATTTGGTTAATTATGAAACATACATATTAGAAGAAATCTACACCAACTCAAAATAACAATTATTAAAAGCATAGAGCCATGTTGGAAAACATTTGTCTGTTAAGTCAAGGATACTGAGAAATAGAACACTGCAGTATTCTTTTAAAAGTATATACGCATAGGGGAGAAAGAGAGAGAGGGAGAGAGGGAGGGAGAGGGGAAAGAAAGGAGGGAGGGAGAAAATTGAATAAATGAAAGAAAAACAGCTACATATGCAAAGATGGCAAGATTACTTGCTTTCTTTTTTGGTATGTTTTATAAAATGATATTGCCATCAACCAAAAATCAAGGAGTAGTCTAGTTTTCTTTCATGACAAGCCAGGACTAGCAGGTATTAAGGGCAGGAGAAAAGGCTAGAACTAGTCTTACTACTATCTGGCAACAGCTTTAAGGGAACAATACTACTCTTAGACTCAGTTAAAGCTTTGGTCTGCTTCACATAATAAGATGGTCTAGAAAACCATCTTATTCATGCAAAATAAATTGATTTCCACCTTCTTTATAATGCCCTGGGAGAGCTAACTCAAGTCCTTCTAAGATGAATGCCTTCCCAAAAGAAATGGATAGCTTCTTCATACATATTTTGTCATTTTGATTATTTTCCCCAAACTCTAGGCTGGTTTAAAGAAAGGTGTGTCTGGAACCAATGTGGCAACAAGTGAGAGAGAATTCCTGGGGAGTGTGATGGGGAGATTTTCCCAGTGCTCTGCTAATGCAGCAGGGCACAGACATCACCAAAAGGATCTCTCTCCAAGGTTCAGCTTTCTGCAAATTCTCCTCCACTAGATTAGCCACAGCCTAAGGGGACACCAGATGTTACTGCAGCACAGGTAAAAGCCTGTGACTCTGGAGGAATGCTTGACTACTTTATGAGGTGGAGTGCGATTGCTGACAACCGTTTCCTTTTCAACGTGAGGGAACAGAATATTCAGGTGGGAGAGCACCATGGGCAGGTCTGAGAATGGGTGCTTGGGCCAGAGCTATCATGACACCCCCGTGGGACTCTCCCTACTCACAAACAGACCAACAGGTAGCTGTCCACCCCAAAGGAGATGGATCTCTAAGCCCTATATGGAACACAAGGTGCAGAACTCCATATATGCTGGTAACTATCTGCAAAAATAGTTACAGAACAATTTAGAGGACCTGTGCTACCAGGGCATAGCTGATCCTGAACAGAACCGGCATAAGACACATCCATTGCATGGTAAATAGTGTGGGAGGAAATGTTTGGGATTTTAATCTTAGAAAAGGAAAACAAAATTTATTTAAAAAAAAACCAAAACACCTTCTTTTACCTTGTATTTAACAAAAATTAATTGATATTGAAGCACATGCTAATTGTTATAAGAAATAAAGACTGTGTTGACTTTTTTCCTGAATGGTTGTATGTTAACAATAAAATGAGTCCCTTCATGTTTGTTTTTTGCATCTCCTACCTCACAGATACCACCAAACTGCTCTCCACAGGAATGGCACAAATTTATACACTTACCTGCAGCATCTGAGAATCTCCATTGCTCCACATCCACCTCAACGCTTGGATGTCAAGCATTTAAACGGGGCTTGACCTTTCCATTGCACTCTGGTTGGTACTGTTTGAATTCTCACCTAAGGGCTGAAGCTCGGGTACCCACCTTTCCCCATCAGTCCAGCACCAAAGCAACTTCTCCCAAATGTGCCAACCAGGGAGTCAAAAGCCATCTCTTTGGCATTGAGGTGGAGGAGCTGGCTGGCCTCCACAAAGCGCCTTGTGATGTCCAAGGGGTTGGCACCTAATAAAGGAATCAACAAAGCAACTCATTTTCCTCTCAGCATGGGCTAATGTTTCCAGAAAAGGGCCTCCATAAATGACCAGGGAAATCAGGGTAGAGTATAGATCTATATCTAGGATAAGAAAGTGTGAGGGGGCTCCTAATGGAAGGGTCTCTAGCTCTCAAAACCTCTCAAATGGCATGTTACTCTCTGCCCCGCCTTGTCCTTCTCTCTTCCATACTCATAGGCCTGGGTATCAATGCTGTTGGTATTTAAAATAATGCAGTACTTAGAAGTTTTAATTACTGATGTGGCTCTAGGTCCTGGCCTTAATCTAGAGATGACACCCTCAGAATAGATGGATCCCAGTTCTCATAACTCTCCCTGATTCTGGCTCTACGGGGCTCTGTCCTGCTACCCACCAATTGTCCCTCTTGACTGGCAACTCCACAAGCCCCTTCCTCCTGGGTGCCTTCTCTCTCCACCTCTGTGTCATTTCCAAAAACTCCACCCATCAGTACCTCTGACCTCGCACAATTCTCCACGGCCAACCTTTAGTCTTGGCTCTGCAAAATTGATGGAATGGAAGGAAAAGAGAACAGAGAGAGGTGAGAGGATGAGTCTTGTGGGTAGTCATGGTAGGAGTTCAATTCCTACAGCAGATCCATGGCAGCCACCTGTTCCCAGTTCATCCTCATATACCTCTTTGGGGTAGGTGCAGTAGACACATCGGTCCAGACAAACCATTCCAGGCATAGAAAAAATGGAGAAGAAACTGACAAGCCAGGCTTACCAGAAACAGACTCCAGCATGGCCTTCATCTTCAGGGTGAGCAGCTCAGTCAGCAGGTGGATGGACCGCCGCTGGAACTTGTACAGGGTCTCCTGGCTGGTGTGCACCCGATGACCATGGGTGGTGAACTTGCCTGACCCAGTGGGTAACATCAGTGGTGGTGGTACTGGTGGTGATGGCGGCTTCTTCTGGACGTGGATCTGCACAGGGGTTGATTCCATAGGCACCACGGGTGGAGTCCCAAAGCTGATCTCCAGGCCCCGGATGGCAGACGGGGTAGGCACCATAGGGTCAGTGATGAGCTCCTCCCAAGTGAACTCAAAGATGTTTCTGATGCCCTTAGGTATAGCAATGCCTGTGTTCCGGCACATGAGGAGTAATTTGGAAATGTTGGCCAGCAGCTTAGGGGCCTTGGATTTGTACTGCAGGTACAGTTCTCGGTTACTCTTGATGTCACTCATGTTGTTAGAGCACGCATACTGCTAAGTAATACTGTCTATCTCAGACAAGAGGGGCCTTCAGCTGTAAAGAGTCAGAGCACCCTGAGAGGTGAATGAAAGCAAAAGTTCTTTTTTTTTTTGAAAGCCAAAGTTCTTACCTAAGGTGAAGGCTTGGAGACAGACAGAATGGAGGTGCTGAAATGGCCTTTACAGGTCATTGAACCTGGGTCCTATGGAGGAAGGAAAATAATTGGTCACACCCTCTTCCACAGTAGGGCAAGGGGATGCTCCTCCTCCCTTTTATTCCCAGAGAAACCTCAGATAGACCCACATTAGTGAGTCACTCTGGGGAGGGAGGGCCTGGGGATGAGTAGATTCTAGAAATAGTTGCAGGGACAGTCACACAAACTAAGTTCCTTTGGAGGAGCCCCCGGGACTGGAGGAATGGAAAGGATGGGGAAGAGAGAAAGGTTCCATCATACCTTTTGTAATTATAGATCTGAGGCTGGAAGATCTGCTCGTGGTCTATCAATAAAAACCTGCAAAAACAAAAAGATATTTCATCGGCTTTCTCTGGCTGAAAGGGATAAGCTTCCTGGTTGGGTAAGCTCCTGGTTGCAATGAAAGGATGGGTATAAAATTATTCAACATGTACATCCAAAGGCAGACAGGAAAGAATGAGGAGAATGAGTTTTCTTAATTCAATACTAATATTATTTGCCACATTTCATAACCTGAGATTTGATGTAACTAATGCACCATCTTATAAGAAAAATATCAAAGCAAGATACCATTGACTGTAAGACTTATCACAATTCCACAGATGTAAAAAGGAGAATATGTGTACCTTAAAATCAGCAAATTATAATAAGCATTTTCCCACTTTAATAAAACTTCTTGAGGGCACCTAGTGCTCATCAAATGGACATATGTGGCTGTGAGGACAGCAGACAAGCATACGCACGTCTGGGTCAGTTGAACATCATTAGATGCTACTAGGTGTTTTTCATTCTTCTAAATTGTGTTTTATTTTTATTGTTTTACTTTATATCAAAAATAGACCACTGGTTGGAGAAAGGGAGTTTGAAGAACAATTTGATGAACACAAAATGGCTAGAAAAAAAATCTACAAATAAACCTCTAGGGTTTTGTAATCAGATCTGAAAGTTTCATTCATCTGATCAAAATAAATACCATAAGGACATACCATTGTCCATATGTCAATCTAAAATACATTAATAAAAATATAAAGTCACTCCTTGATTTTACATCACACAAAAATGATTTAATTTCTGAGGGGCTTTGTGAAAATATATTCTATAAAAGATGCTCAAGAACCAGAACACAATACTCTCAACAATAAAAATAAATTAAAAAAAGAATCAGCTGGAGGGGGCCAATGGGGGAAAAAGAGGGTATATGTAACACTTTCAACAATAAAGATTTTAAAAAATAAAATTTAAAAAAAATCAGAACACACAAAAAAGGTTGGTCAAAGGGAAGCTGAGAGCAGAAGCCCCCTCCTCCCCCTGCCTTCTGATCACCTTTGCCAGTATTTCCATACAATGTCAGTAGTTACCTCTCTTGTCTGACTTAAATGACCCATGAGCATACTTGCTAGTAATGGTGGCCTTAGAGCAGAAGGGTCTCTGGCTGTTGCCTTCGGACAATTCTTATTACTACAGCCCTCCAACCATCAATTCTACCACCCCAGCCTGACAATTACCCCCCACCATGTCCATGGCCGTCTTCTCCCACCAATCTTCAATCTTTCACTTTTCAAACCATGTCCTCTCGAACCACCCTAAGTTCACCATTCCAGGACCACACCCCTGGTGCATACCATCAGGGTTAATAGAGCAGGTTCACACCATAATCTGGTGCAACCACCCTGGGGTGAGAAGGCTATTATCTCTCTGGTTTTACTGATGAAGAATCAGAGCTCTTAGGAGTTGCCTATGGACATAGGTTCTACATGCAATACTACTTCCTCACGCCCTTTGAATTGCCTCTACCCATCTATCAGCAACAAGTCTCCAAAGAACAAGAATCCCATAAAGCAAACCCTTCTGACATCTGGCTGACTTGCAGATAAAGTGGCTTCCTATGTCTATTTGCTGACCCCCTGGCAACTATTCCTCAGCTCTGAAGACTTGGAAAAATAGGTTCTTTTTTTTAAAATGATAAGTCTACAGAACAAAGAAACCACTCAGAATCTCTGTCATTAGGGCAGCCAGCCAGAGGATCTGACCCTGACCATGCAGGGCTGACTTTTTTTTTCTCTCTCTCTTTAAAACCAGGACTCAGATGAAGACAAATAAAATCCTTGAAATGTTAAATAGTTTGAGGAATTTTTCCCTACCCCCTTCCAGTTCCTTTCCTTTGAAGTTAATTTTGAAGATATGTCTTACAGATAAAAGCTAATTTTTACAATAGCTTTATTGTGATATAATTCACATAACATACAATTCAGTCTTTTAAAAGTATACAATGGTTTTTAGTATATTCAAAGTTGTGCAACCAACACCGCTACCTAATTTTAGAACATTTTCATCACCCCATAAAGAAACCCATTATCAGTTACTCTCTATTCCCCTTATCCCCAGGCAACCACTAATCTAGTTTCTGTTTCTGTAGAATTGCCTGTTCTGGACATTTCATATAGATGAAACCATATAATAAGTGGCCTTTTGTGACTGGCTTCTTTCACTTAGCATGTTTTTGAGGTTTATGTTATAGTAGGTATCAGTACTTCATTTTTAGTAGAATAATATCCAATTACATGGTTAAACCACAATCTGTTCATCTAGCATTATTTGATGGATATTTTGGTTTCCACTTTTTAGCTACTATGATTAGTGCTTCTATGAACATTCATGTACAGATTTTTGTGTTTTCTTTACCCATTGCTATTCTCATTCTTCTGGAATGGATGACTGTAGCTCCAGCAGCCATTTCAAGCCACGAGGTTACTATGAAGCCACGTATTAAAGGTGGCAGTGGAGACACTGCCACCCCCAGTGAGAGCGGGACTGTGGCAGAATGGTGGAGCAGGTGAGCGGGCGGTGACAGGCTAAGGCGGGTGCGAACGGGGCCCCATTGCCCCGCCAATCGCCCTGCAGACAGTAACCAGCGGTGGCCTGGCTCCCAGGTGCTGAGGGAGCCAGGCAGGGGGCCAGCCCCGACTGATCACCCTACAGGTGGGATGGTGGAGCAGGTGAGGGGCTGGTGCCAGTGCCAGGCCCAGGCGGGGTGCCAGGCAGGGCTGCGGGGCTGCAAGGCGGGGGGTATGAGCTGGGGCCTGATCTCTGTAGGCCACCCCAAGGGACCCACCCATGCACAAATTCGTTTTCCGGGCCTCTAGTGAATATATAAATGTAGTCCACGACTGATTAAGAAATACAGAAACAAAAGATCAACACCAGACCTGGGTGACAGATTTTCACTAAAAAACACCTTACTTCATTTGATTACTTTGATTTTTCAGTTTTTCTAGATCTACACCAATCACATCATTCTCTCCCTTCCCCAACCCCCGCCCTACTCCTCACACACATACATCAAACATTAAGCTAAATGTACACACGTATACTGACAAAATGCCTCACCAAGACAGCTGGCGAGGGTAGGTGGGAAGGCCAGAGTTGTTTCATTTTTGCTCACAGTTTTCAGCAGGTCAATAAATTCTTTTCAATGATCATCCCTTACCTTAGCCATTAAGTTTTTGTTTGTTTTTATAGGAACTGCTTGATATATAACTAACTTAGTTCAATTTACTGACTGAAAAACAGCAACACTAAACATATATGGAGTGGCTACTCTATGTTGTGTTAACTGCAAAAACCAGTACTTACCCTGTTCCAAATTCTAACTTCTATTGCCTCATATGCATGTCACAAGGTTAGCTGAAAACCACCCCATGGGATGCACTATGGCTTTAAGAAATAAATTATACACAAGGTTTGGGCAAATGTATGGCTACACATAGCAGGAATCTCATGTATATGGATTTAAAGTTTCTCCTTTGGGAATTTTGCAAGCAAACAAAATGATTTATTTAGCCAATTCAAATGAACTATATCAAAACACACAAAGGCCTGAAGAAAAGATTAAAATGAAAACAAATAATTCAAAGCACTTTCTGTTCTAAAACATTTCACTTAGCTCTACAAAGACACAAACAAGGTGTGGTCGTTTTCTGAGAAGAGATTTTACCACTACTTACTCCCAAGATAAACACAGCCATAAAAAATATATTAAATGCTTCATGTACATCTGGACGAAATTATTTGTCAATCCTTTAGTTACTAATGGGAGGATCATGTGTAGTCAGACTCTAGAGCATGTAAAAAAAACCAACATAGATCATTCAGAGTTATGCTGTGCAGTATAGTAGCACTATACCACATGTCTTTTTGAGCACCTGAAACGTGGTTAGATTACAGTGGTCGGCAAAATGCGGCTCACAAGCCACATGCGGCTCTTTGGCCCCTTGAGTGTGGCTCTTCCACGAAATATCATGTGCGGGCGTGCACGTACAGTGCAACTGAAACTTCGTGGCCCATGCCCAGAAGTCGGTATTTTGTGGAAGAGCCACACTCAAGGGGCCAAAGAGCCGCATGTGGCTTGTGAGCCGCAGTTTGCCGACCACTGGGTTAGAATGAGTAAGAAACTAAATTTTCACTTTAGTAAATTTAAAACTTCACACTTGACTGTTATTGGAAAACTTTAAACATGGTTAAGCATGTTTGGGACAATTTAGGGTATGTGAATCTACCCTTTCAGTGGTATAGTTTATGAAATCTAAATATAGGTCAAGTATTTCTGATGAAAATTTTTACAAGTAGATATACAGTGGATTCTGAACACTTGGTATGAAAAGAAATGTAGAATATCTCATTAATATTTGTGTACATTGATTAAATGCTGAAATAAAAGTATATAACAATATTAATTTCACTTTTTTAATGTGGTTCCTAGAAAATTGGAAATGACATAGAAGACTTACATGGTATTTCTACTGGGCAAACAGTGGATCTGAAGTCTAAGAATTCTAATGCCATCTGCTGGATGCACTCATATAAAACAGGCCCATGAGAAACTGTAAAACAAATTATGTTAACACTTGAAGAACTCTGGGTCTGCAATGGAAGACAATGTAACAGCTGGGTTCATAAAACACTAAATGATCTGCTGTTAAAGAGGGCATAGAGGGGATAAATGGTAATGGGGAAAGAATTTTTTTTAAAAAGGCATTGAGAATAGGTTAAAAGTTTTTGCAATCCTAGAGAAAATCTCAGTTATTAGTTGACAGTGATTATGAGCCAGTACACGGACTGCTTTGCTATGTCCACCCAAGGTGCTCTGAGAAACAAAAGGTTATTTGAGCCCGGCCAGCATGACTCAGTGGTTGAGTGTTGACCTATGAACCAAGAGGTCACGGTTCAATTACTGGTCAGGGCACATGCCTGGGTTGTGGGCTCAATCCCCAGGGTGGGGCCTGCAGGAGGCAGCTGCTCCGTGATTCTCTCATCACTGATGTTTCTCTCTCTCCCTCTCTGAAATCAATAAAAGTTAAAAAAAAAAAAAGGTTACTTGGTGGCCTCTTCCATGACTACTGGCACCCATACTCATGGGCTTATTGCTGCCTAACTAGCCTTCCCATCCCTTCTCCACAATTTGCCTTGAGTCTTTCTGCTCTACTTTATATAAATTCTTTCTCATATCTGTCTGTTTTCCTTCCTCCCTTTTTTGTTTTTCTTATGAGTCTAGGAGAGCTAATAATTCTTTTAAAAAAATATTCCAGTTTTTCTTTTTGTCTCTTCTTTTGTTCTATAAGCTGTTCCAGTGGTTCTATAGTTTTAGCTCTCACATTTAGGTCTTTGATCCACTTTGAGTTGGTCTTGTTTATATGGCATGAGATATGGATCAAAATTCATTATTTTGCATGTGGGTAGTTAGTTGCCCCAGAATCCTGTTGAAAAAGCTATTCTTTTCCCATTAGATACTTTTGGCACCAGTGTCAAAAATCAGTTGACCGTAAGTATATGGATTTATTTCTGAACTCTCAATTCTATCCCATTAATCTATGTGTTTATCCTTATGTCAGTACCACATTGTTTTGATTTCTGTAGCGTTGTAGCAAGTCTTAAAATTAGAAAGTGTGAATCCTCCAATTTTGTTCTTTTTCAAGATTGTTTTGGATAGCCTGGGTTCCTTGCAATTCCATATAAATTTTAGGATCGGTTTGTCCAATTTCTATACAAAAGGCAGCTGGGTTAGTTGGTTTTAATGTATCTATATAATAAAAGCCTAAGTGACTCTTAAGGTGGAATGACCAGAATAACTGGTCGCTATGATGCACACTGACCACCAGGGGTCCTGGACTGCGAGAGAGATGTCTGACTGCTGGCTTTGGCCTGAACCCCGGGGGGATTGGGCCTAAGCCAGCAGGTGGACATTCCCTGAGGGGGTCCCGGACTGCAAGAGGGTGCAGGCCGGGCTGAGGGAAACCCCCCTCCCCAGGGCATGAATTTCGTGCACCAGGCCTCTAATATTTGATAAGAGGTATTTCCCTGATTAGGCTGACAGAATGACCATTAATAGGTCTGCAACTTTGTCCAATATGGACCCTAGATGTTCTCAGGAATTTGGGAATTTTGTCTAACACTGCTTGATATTGGAGCAACAAGACTGAGTATAGAAGGCATTGGAGAAAGCATGAGTCTGCAGCAAACCTGAGCCTAAACTGTGTTCAAGTCCTAGATCTGCCATTTAGATGCCATATGACCCTGTACAAGTCACTGACCCTCTTTACACTCCAATTTGCAATCTGTAATGAGAACAAGGGCACTTATGTCAACACCACTGTGCTGTGGGAACAGAAAACATGTGCACCACAGAGCCCAGAGGAGGGTGGGCTCCTGTGGGTGCTTGGGGGACCTATAGTAGCACATTCTTACACGACTCACTGGCTTGGGAGGTGGCTGTAGGAGCCTTGTGGGCCTGTGTGCTGCTGAAAAGATGATACTGAGATGTCCTCTTGGAAACTAGATCACTTCGTCGCCCACTCCTCATGTGCCACTCTTTGACAGGTGATAGTTCCTCCTGATAGATGCTCCATCAACTGATCTGGAAGCTGAATCCATGGAGAAAAGACATCTACATGCTAACATTTGCAGAAGGAATGGAGCCCTTAAATCTGAGTAAGTCACGGGAGCAGGTATGAAAGACAGGATTACAAACTCCTTGATGTCAAATATTAAAGAATATTTCTATTCCATCACAGCTTACACTTAAAGCCACACGAATATCTCGCCATACAAATTGGAAAGAAATGAATGGCCACGTGGCCACAGATTTCCCAAGGTACCATTCACCTTCTTCCTTGCTGACAAATCCAACCTCTATCTTCTAGGGAAAGGGCAGGAAAATAAAGTTATATTTTGGTCCCTAAAATCAAGTCATTTTCTCTGCTCTGGGAGGAAAAGATACCACCAACAGCATGGACCCAAGTCAGAATGCTTTTTAAGTTCATGTCACTTGTTTATAATATGATATCATATCATCCAGAGTTTCAAAAGTGACCGTGGGGGCTTGTGGTGGGCTGCTGGGAGCAGGAGTGGGTGACGTATGTGAACAGCTGGGTTCATGGCTTTGGCCAGCATCACTCTGTGCAGGTGCAGGTCTGCTCCATGTCTGGCTACTGAAAGAACCAGTTCTCTTTTGACCCACAAAGTAATCCGACGGTGGGGCAAACTCAGGATCTCTTTCAGCCCGGAGATCTGACTGCCTCTTCGACCAGTACCCAAACGAAAATTCTAGTAAAAATAAGAAAGAACTGTATTAGAACTGATTATGAAATGAGATGAATTTATTGTCATTACTTTTCAATTATTGTATGTATTCCTTAAAAGCCTCCTCAAATTCTCTGGAAAGCAAGGATAGCAATACAAAAAGGTAGTATGAAGCACATGCAATGCCTACTGAAGTATAAGGAACCAAGCTAAGGGAGTGACTACTTCCTGAAGGCCAAAGGTTCAAGAAAGGCTGTGTGGAGAAGTCTGCAGGCTCTGGAAACACTGCCAAAAAGGCACTAACATTAAATTTAAGAGAGAAATGCAGAAAAATTAAACACTCAATCATTTGCTTGACATTATGTTGCAGGTACTTCATAACAAACAGTGTTGTCCTCTGAGCTTTAGACAAGAAGTAACCTCTCCAAATCTAAGTTGGTCTTTCATCTCTATTTCCAACTGAAATGTGCTAAAAACACAATACATTAAAATATCAAACCTTCATAAATTTTGAAAGCAGTTCTTAAGAAATGACATTCCAGAGCTGCAATGAGGCAGCACAAATTTCAGAAAACTTCCCCCTCAAGCACTTCAAAAACACAAAACCCTCATCCTTCGACATGATGCCTTATAAATCCTGGTCTTTTATAATCACCCTTTCTAGTGCTTCTGTTTATAAACAGCTCTGCCTGGGTATCAAGAAGGAAAAAGTTCAAGGACCTCAAGAATTCTTTAAGAGTCAAAGGACCACAAAGACTCATCAGAATCACATTTGGATCAGGAGAACCAGAAAAATTTCCTGTGCAGGGCCCATTCCTAGAGAGGTTTTTACACCTTGGAGCAACCCCTACCTCCCCTCCGCCCCTCTTACCTTTTCCTCTGTCCCACTCCCGGACGTGTGGCACTCCGGGCCTGGTATCCTTCCTCTCCTGAACGATGACTTCTACTTTGCTACGCTGGGCAGCAATAGGCGGAGTTGGCATGGCCTCTGGTTCTGGTGGCAAAGGCCCAATAACATTTCCATCTATTTTTTGCAAGGGAATAAGACTTCATTATAATAAAGCTTAAAGCTACTTAATTTTTAAAAAATAGAATATACTAATCCTGGAAGTAGAAGTAATAACCAGTATTTACTAAGCACCTACCATGTCCCAGGCAGTGGGCTAAGTACTTTGTATATAATAGTTCATTTAATTCTGTAACAACCCTAATAAAGCCAATATTAGTATTCCCATTTTATCCCCATTTTGTAGATGAGAAAAATTAAGCTCAGAAATACTGCACAGGTCAAAAGTGACAAGAGTCAGGACTTAAACCCAAGCTGGATGGATTTCAAAGTATCTATATCCCCAGACCAACAAGCAAAAGACCAGAAATCCCTGTTACTCAACTAAAGTAAATCTCAAAGCAAGGGGGCTTGGGGTGATGAAGAGCTGGAGCCTGGCGACAGGCTGTAGACTACTCAATTCTGGCCATATTTTAAATGAAAATGGATTTTTTAAAACACTGTGGTGACATTTCACAACTTGTGGAAATGACAGATGTTTAGGAGTAGAGCAAAAATAAACAACATAAAGAGCTTAACATGTTACAGGGAGACAACAGTTATATGAAACTAAACGGATGATTTTCCAATTAGTAAATGTTTCTGGTTTCTTTCAAAACCAAATTGAATTAAAAAAACAACAACAACTCAAAAACTGAATTTCTGTTCAGAATTAGAAAACAGCCCATGGCTTAGCACAAGCTCCTGTGAGGGCTGGAGGCTTCTATATGCCTCTAGCACCCATACTCTCCTTCCTTTTGGGACCAGAATGCCCCGTTTCAGCTGGATACAAGGCACCTTGCCAGAGAGGCTGATTCCCCAGCCTCCCTGCCTTATGGCTATTGGCCTCCCTGTGTTCTGGCCATTGGGATGTAAAGACATAGGCTCTGCATGACTTCTGACTCACATTCCCCAAAGGGAAGCTCATTCCCTTCCCTTTTTCCTCCTTCCCCAAGGCTGAATCATGAACAGGTGCTGGGGAGCAAGCTTCAACTGTTCAGGTTAGAGCAACCTAGGAAATGACAGAACTGGAATCTGAAGACTGGATGGCCATCTGAGGCAGATACACTACCTACCTGGACACCCACCACCTCTGAAATGTTAAAAGGGAGAAGCAGATTTCCCTCTAGTTTGAGGCAGTCTATGTGGGGGTCTCTTTGTCGTGACAATTTGGCCCAGACCAACATAATTCACAGAATGAACTAGTTTGAACACATTATTTAACAGTGTTTCCAAGTGTCTTAACAGTCCTTTCGTAAGCTGACCATAGTCATATTTGTAAATTATTTAATTCTGACTTTGTGATGTATTTCTCCTTTAAAATAAGTTAATATATAATCAACAAAAACTGCAGCCACAGCAAAACAAATTAGGTTTAAAACATGTACACAACTAAACGAAGTGTGATTTACGAAACTGTTCTATTCTATGAAGTGACTCAATTTACTGTTAATTTCCTTATCTATAACCTAAACTATTCCCTAGGGTGTCATTCGCATCACACTGGTTATAAAAACTGCTCCTGTCAGTACCTTAGAGGTGCTTTCTTAATGGCTAATTTCTCAGCCTTATTACTGAGACATCAATGGAACTAAAATTTTTCCTTTTGAAGTTTATTAACATGAGCCATGACATACCTTTACTTTCTTCCTCTGCTCCATCATCTTTTGATACTTTCATCTTTTTCTGTCGAAGTTTGGCAAGTCTTGCTTCTAACATAGCCTTTCGCTTTTCTTTTATGTTTTCTCGTTTTGTTCTCTGGTCTGTTGTCTGAAGAGAACAGAAAATTATAAAATTATTTGTTTCAAGCCAAATTCATAATACTTCTTTTTAAAGAACAATGAAATAATTTTATTCTAAAAATAGACTAATTGATTTTCATGCCACCTCTAAGAAGCTATCCTTGAGATCACCAAAATGAAGACTCGTATTCTCTTACACAAGGCCTCAGCTGTTTTTTGAAGTTTAGAAAGCATTCACAGAGCATTCTGAAAGGTTTAACATTCAAGAAAACCAACCAATTCTGTTCTACTCCTTAATCCCTCAAGCAACTTTCTATTTTCTTACCTAGACCACTCCAAAAATATATTAAAAATCAAATTTAAAATTACATGAGTTACTTCTGGGCAGCCATAATCTTAAACCTTGAAACACCAAAATAATATGGCAATTACAGCTATGAAACCTATAATTGTATTCTGAATATCAATTTAAATCCCTAATTAATTTACTAGATTTTTTTTGCAGTATGGTCCAACAAGAAACCAACTGCTCAAATCTTTCTTTACATCAACTCTGAATTTAATTTGTACCTGTTCACGCAGCATCTCTAAAGTTTTCATTTGCTTGTTTCTTAACTCTTTATCTCGGGCAAAGGCAAAATATCCAACACCAAGTTGCCGGGCCTCTGAAATAAGTCAAAATTACATGGGAGATTATAGATTTCCCTGATCAGTAAATTATATCCTACAAGAAATTTGGCAAGAAGAAATATAGTGATGTTTGGCACAAGTTTTTAAAGAGAAAAAGCAGATAAACAAAAAAGCAAGTTAGAAATAGTTTTCATCCTGTTT